TTATAGTAGCTTGGTAAACGATAGGTGATGGGGGCGCAGCTTGGCCACAGGATGCCTAGTTTGCTGTGAATTGAAGCTTTGCGAGTCAAGCTATCAAATCGACCGATTTGCTTCCTCTGATTGTATTCCTGCAACCTGCACGTTCGTTTGCAGATGTTTTGCCCGATCCCTTCCGAATGCATGCCTGCAAGACAGAGGCAAGTTGTCAGCTTTATCGAAGGCCGCAGAGTGTGCGGTCGGTGCCTCAAGCCAGAGAACGTTTTTAGCTATGGCATGTTATAGTGCGCAATCCATGGGTTCCGGAACATCTCTGTTTGATGGGACCTTCTTGGCAGCTTAGCTTTTGGGCTCGTATGTCATCGGCATCCTTGCCTACTGCACATAAGACTCGTACAATATTCAACCACATGTAAGTACACAAAAATCTGGGTCTGCGGGCAGCATGGGGCAGCCTCAAGCACCAGCATCTCAGCGCCCTCCGAGCCCAGTTCTCAAAAGACTTGGCCATGACTTGCTCCTCAGGCCCTGGGCAGGAGACAGAGTTGCAGAAGCTCCTGGCAGCCACAAAGAGATGGCCACAAAGTACTGGCTTCTTCTGCCAGGCATCCATGCCTTCGGGTCACAAGGAAGGCGCAAAGCCTTGGTAGCATGCTTACTTGGTCCGTCTGCGAGACACGCCGCATGTGCTTCGGACCCTGTGCTGTGAGGGAAATATGCCGGAAAGGCACCTTGCGCAGCTGAACAGTACATGCAGTACACAGACAGGTGTATATACGTGTTGACCAGCACTTTCCCTGCCAAATGTCTTGTAAGCCAGGCCCTACAATCTGTCCTCGCCCGGCCTGGGTTTTTCTTTTCACAGATCGAGGCCGCCAGCCTTTTCAGGGATGTTGAGGGTTTCGGAGGAGAAAGGTCCAGAGAGAGAGAGAAAGAGAGAAACAAACAAAAGAGAAGAGAGACAGAGAGAGAGAGAGAGAGAGACAGAGAGAGAGAATCGCGGGGGCTCTGGCCCTCATGCCCCCAAGAAAGCAAAAAACAAGAAAGAAAGAGATAGAGAGAGACCAAGCAGCGTGTGGAGTTTAGCCGGTGAACATCGGCTGGTAGTCAGGCGGGACAATCCTAAGCTTGCCAGGAACACATGAGGCAATTAGGAGGTCCCAGAAGTTCGGAGCTTGAAGGAAGCATTTATGTACCGAAACCCAAGATGCAGTGCTATCGCTTCAAACTCTATCATCCTTATCACGTGGGAGATACTGTCGAGATTGGATCGCCAGAGCTAGCATGACCAGGTTTCTTCGCAACCGATAAAGACGGGGGTGATGAGGGGTGGTTTAGGAGGTTTAGGATGAGGTTTGCAGGTGTGGTTTGGTAAGAGTTGGATGAAGGACCTGTCCCTGTAAGCTGCGGGGTCCTGAGCAGCGCGTGCACTTGTATCTCTAGCCCTCAGCCTAGAACGTATGAAGGGTGCCAGGAAAGGCCATTATTCAGCAGGTTTTACCAGCTCGATGGCCCTCCAGGAGACGGCGTACGGCTCCTCACTGCTCTTTGCCCTGTTGCGACAGCTGGCGCGGCGCGACCCGCCACTTGGCAGAGCACCAAGCAGAAAGCCCTGCGCCATTTTTTTCCTCAAATCGCACCCAAGCCCAAGCAAGATCTGAACTCAGGCAAGGCCTTGGCCTGGCAACCAGCACACCGCAGCATGAGCGCCGCCCGGCTACGTTGGCAGGATCAACGGAACAAAAGAGAGAGGGAGAGGGAGAGGGAGAGGGAGAGGGAGAGGGAGAGGGAGAGGGAGAGGGAGAGGGAGAGGGAGAGGGAGAGGGTTAGAGCTAGAACAAGCCGCTGCCGCCTCAGACCCAAACTAAGAAGAGTGGGGGTGGTGGGGTTGGTGGGAGGCTAGGTTGCAGTCAGGCTTCGGTCATGGGGGGAGGGGAGTAAGCTACTGAGGTACGTGTTGGGGCTTGAGCACATTCGGGGGCATGCAGGGTTTGGGAGGGGTTTCATGGAGCGGCCTCGAGTACAGGGGCGGGCGTAGACCCCCGATGGTTCGCCCCCCTGCCCCAAGAAAGAAAGACAGAAAGCAAGAAGGAAAGAAGAAAAGAAGAAAAGAAAGAAAGAAAGGAGTGAAGGAAACGAAGGAAGGAAAGGAAGGAAAGGAAGGAAAGGAAGGAAGGGAAGGAAGGAAGGAAGAAAGAAGGAAAGAAACGTGGCTTATGGTGCGCAAGTCACATGTAATTCTCAAAACAGTCGTGTTATTTCAACTCCACAAATACAAAAACCCAAAACCATAAAGCAGGGACCCTCATTTCTTGGAACTTTGGTATTGCCAAGCTTTTCCGTTACTTGAAAAAATCCGAAACATCGCATCTTGTTTTCGGGATTTTGCCTTCCACGGGGTTGAAAATCAAAGAAGCACGTGGTTTATATTGGGTACTCGAGGAAAGAATCCAAGCATTTTTTTTGTTTTCAGGCCCGGCCCGGAAGAGCGCAATATTTTTTTGCACAGGGTACATGGTTTGCGGTGTCTGCAGGTCAATGCGATGCGTAGCGGACCTCTTCCAGCCCGGTAAGGTGTAACGTTTGACGCCTGAAGCATCCTGCATCCGCGTGAGGACTTAACCTGAAGACTTGCCCAGAAAGCCCAATACCCCTTAATTAAGGAACACAGCTTATAAATAAGCCAGATTCCTAAGTGAAGGGGTATTGGGCTCTTTGGGTGGTGGACTGCTGACTCCCACTAGTGCGTCACGCTGAAGGTCGGAGCCTGGCGCTCATCTGCGCCAAGATGATGAAGCAGTCCATAGTCCAGCTTGCCACGTGGCGCCCTCTGGTACTCGTCAGCTTCTTTTGGTTTCGGGCAAGTATTACAGTATGGCTTTGGGGTAGCCTCATGGAGCTTTCAGTAGAGGTAAAGAACTTGGGCTAGGGACATACGTGCGTGCTGCAAAAGTTTAATCTGGCAAGTCACAGATCTCTTGATTATCCTCTCAACAATGGAACGGCGCTCGAAAGCATCTTCGCATCTTTTGAAGCCCCTCCCTGCCCGACATCCCATCCCCACTCCTGGCTGATGTACTAGCCTACAGTGGCTACCTTCACCACCTTTTTGCTAAAGAAGTGCTTTTTGCCGTCACACCCACACACCCACGCGCCCACACCCATACACCCGCACCCCCACGGCAGCGCACACACACACACACACACCCACACACACCCACACACACCCACACACACCCACACACACCCACACACACCCACACACACCCACACACACCCACACACACCCACACACACCCACACACACCCACACACACCCACACACACCCACACACACCCACACACACCCACACACACCCACACACACCACACACACACACACACACACACACCCACACACACCCACACACACCCACACACACCCACACACACCCACACACACACACACACCCACACACACCCACACACACCCACACACACACACACACACACACACACACACACACACACACACACACACACACACACACACACACACACACACACACACACACACACACACACACACACACACACACACACACACACACACACACACACACACACACACACACACACACACACCCACACACACACACACACACACACACACACACACACAACACACCACACACACACACACACACACACACACACACACACACACACACACACACACACACACACACACACACACACCACACACACACACACACACACACACACACACACACACACACACACACAACACACGTACCACACACACACACAACATGTACACACACACCACACATGTACACACACACACACACATGTACACACACACACACACATGTACACACAACACACACACATGTACACACACACACACATGTACACACACACACACACATGTACACACACACACACATGTACACACACACACATGTACACACACACACATGTACACACACACACATGTACACACACACACACATGTACACACACACACACACACACACACATGTACACACACACACACACACAAAGACACCAGAGAGAGGGCCCACGCGCGCGTGTGCGCGCATGCACTGACGCTCACGCACACGTGTGCGCGCGTGCGCATCCTCTCCGGATGCAGGACAGATGATACCTGTTCCAAACATGACATGTACCATAAGCGAAGCGCGTAAACACAATCAACCTAAACCCGGCTGGCACGCAACAAAAGCTATGCTGCGCTTAGAAGCCGCTCAGATATGATTAAGCTGTTGCATCGCGCAATGTTTTGCACAGCATGTGCCGCCAATGCTGACTGAAACCTTTGCCGTGCTGCAGGGAGCTCCCCGCCACACGGCAGCCCCTTGCAACCCTTGTGCGCAGCACTGGGGTGTGGGTGGCTGGAACGGCTTCCTGGCATCAACTTGCCTGTGCCTGTGAGTTCGGAGTTGCAGATCCTTTGAGCTGTTCAACTTAAGGCTCGCGAAGATAAGTCTCCAGTTGTTGTACACGTTTGGTCGCCTCCATTCCCCGAAACCCCAGACAGGTTTTGCTGTTGGTTGTCAAGACTTGGCCTTGGGCGCCAGTGTTCCTCGCAAGTGGAGAGATCTGCCCAGAAAGGTGTCGGCAAATCAAGAGCACTTGTTCTACACGGTTAGATTTTAACAAGGAGAACAAGTCCGGGTACTTGTGTCATGGTGGTTTAGGGTGACGAGCTAATTTAGCGGTCTGATATTCGCTACTGCCAACTTACCAGTTGTTTGGCATTGCACGCACTTTTTGATATTGCCCTCCTTGTCCAATGTCGATCCATGTCAAAACCCAAGGCTTGATCCCGTGGGGTTGCCGGTCGTGTTAGAAAAAAGCCTGCAGCCAGATTTCCCAAAGACCCGAGCCCTTGAAGAGCCGCTCGACCCAAGTTGCTCAAGACATCTCACAGGTTTCCCGCCAGAGCCCTCGAGGCGCGCAAGAAGAGCCATTGAGCCATGGGCTGCGCGACTTCCGCCACCATCACTGAGGATAACGTGGAAGACCTCCGAACGAGGATCCGAAAGCTGAAGGACCCACAGCTTGACGATGCTGCGAAGGCGAGAGAATTGAGGCTTTTGGGCAAATGGCCAGGTATGGGTCCGCACATCGCGGCCGAAGGCGGTGTGTCGGCTATCCTGGAGCTGCTGGAGGGCGGCAGCGATTGGCTGAAGAAGGAGGCAGCCGAGGCTTTGTTCTGCAGGGCACAAGGCGACGACGACTTCGCCAGGGCCATCGTGGCCTGCGGCGGCCGGGCGCAGCTGGAGGCCGTGGCCAATGATGGCAGGCCGGACCCGGACTCGACGGTGGTGGGGGGGAGGAACGTGGCTCGAGCGGTGCTGAACATCTGCCAGAAAGTGCCAGAGACTGCCGAGGCCGCAGCATAGAAGTCGAAGACACCTCAGCCACCAAGGCACCAGGTGGCCTAGACCACAGGTATGACAACAGATGCTTGATGTTTGGCCAGAGGCCACATTCAGTCTTTTCAAGTGGGGCGCTCCTCAGAGAGAGAGAGATAGACATATTAACATACTTTTATACATTTATATATATATATATATACATAGATGTAAACATGTATAGTGTGGTTGATATTGCCAAGCACCTCCACAGTGGGCCCAGCTCGAGGTGCAAAGCATCCGAAAGTCATCCGGGCATGGGTCAATATCAAGCACTGCAAGATAGGTGAAGTACTGTCCCCAAACAGACAACATGATGCTCCGTTCATTCGTGATGTTCAGAACTGACCCATGCCCATGTTTTTTCACCAATTTTCAGGAAAGGGTGAAGCCCCAAACTGCACCACGATTCAATTCTCGGAGCCACTTCCAATGATAGCCCAAGCTTGAACATCAGAGCAATTGACAAACGAGGTTCCACGCGCACCTGAAATCCTGCGGAAGCAAGACCCAGAGAGCCCAATACCCTTAATTAAGGAATATGTAGTCTTAAACTATAATGGGACCCTTAGTATGATTTAAAGAATATTCCTTAGTTAAAGGTTATTGGGCTCTTTGGGGAAGTGAGGCTGCTACAGGAGACGACCAGCGTTCACCTGAGATGTGCGTGGAAGCTGCAGCCGCTGCTCCAGAAGGCTCCTGTGTTGATGTTTCCCTGGCCTTGGGTGAGTTGGCACGGCTTTTTTTTTATGCTTTGGGGTTTAGGGTTTAGGGTTTAGGGTTTAGGGTTTAGGGTTTAGGGCTGGACTTAAACCATGTTCGAGTGATCCTTGAAGAATTCACTCTGCAAGGCCGTGATATGCCCTAAACCCTAAGCCCTAAAACCTAAACCTTAAACCCTCAACCCTAAACCCTGCTATGACTCATGTGCTTGGTGTTTGTGAATATCTCTGGGTGAGTTGCGCCGATCTGGACAGCTTGTCCGACCTAAGCTAGCAGCTAGCTGCCAGCTCCGACTTGCAAGTGCTTAGGGTTAAGGGTTTAGGGTTTAGGGTTTAGGGTTTAGGGTTTAGGGTTTAGGGTTTAGGGTTTAGGGTTTAGGGTTCAGGGTTCAGGGTTCAGGGGTTCGGGTTTAGGGTTCAGGGTTTAGGGGTTAGGGTTTAGGGCACACAGCACGAGGCAAACTGGTTTTTTGAAACAACCTCGCCACCCCGAAGCCTCAGGGCTCAACACGCCCTTTGGCCCTCGAAGCTCAATCATGTATGAAAAGAAGCGTAACGCCTAAACCCTAAACCCTAAACCCTAAACCCTAAACCCTAAACCCTAAACCCTAAACCCGAAACCCTAAACCCTAAAACCTAAATCCTAAAACCAAAACCTCAAATGTCTCAGGGGTTCCGGAAGAAGCAGAGGCAGTTCGACAGCCTGGAGCTCAAACCACAGATTGTCCTTGGGGTTCAAAGTTGTCACCTAAAGGTTGCAGATGTTCGGCGGGTTGTGGTTGCAAGGCTTTTGCAAGGTTCCGGAGAGGAAAGGGGTCAAAAAATCAAAAGGATCAGTAAAAACTGAACAAGGATCAATCAAAAAAGGGAGCAATCTAAGCCCTAAACCCTAAACCCTAAACCCAAAACCCTAAACCCTAAACCCTACATAAAACATATGTCAAATCAAGGGCAAGCCAAGCTTCTGGCTTCCGAAGGATTGGCTTTGGTGGCCTCCTGGCTTGCTGGTTTCGGCTTCTCGTGTCTTTAGCTTTCCTTAAAATTGCCATGGCTAGTATTTCGTACCAGTTCCTCTTACGGTGACTGTCATACGATGGCGACGACGACGACGACGAGTACGAGTACGAGTACGAGTACTAGTACTAGTACTACCGACTACACCACCTACTACACCACCACCTCCTACTACTACTACTACTACTACTACTACTACTACTACTACTACTACTACTACTACTACTACTACTACTACTACTACTACTACTACTACTACTACTACTACTACTACTACTACTACTGCTGCTACTGCTACTGCTACTACTACTACTACTACTACTACTACTACTACTACTACTACTACTACTACTACTACTACTACTACTACTACTACTACTACTACTACTACTACTACTACTACTACTCATAAGGCCCCGTGAAATTCTGCACGTGACCAAGGAGCCTGCTGGAAAAACTTGCTGGCCTTCACAAATCGCAGCTCAGATCTCAGACAGAGTGTCGGCTCCGGTGTTTTCACCTGATTTTAGATTTTCTGGGGCTGCTGAAAGACAAGCAGTTGTTAATAGGCTGGTTTGGGCCAGGATGAGCTCAGACTAGCAGATTCGCGGTGTCGACGTTCGACGCACGAAGTACTTGTGTCACTGTCGTGCGTGCAGGAGCCCTAAACCCTGAACCCTCAACCCTCAACCCTAAACCCTAAACCCTTTGAGCTGCTTGAGCTTCTGCGAAAGACTTCGTCCAGAAGCCCACGGGCTGGAGACACTTCAATTTCACTTCGAGCCCTCAGCTTCGTCAGATCTTAGCCCACGCCAGCCTTGCCAGCAGCTCTCGTAGTCTGCCCTGACCTGGTTCTCTTGCCAAAGGGTGCCTAAACCCTAAACCCCAGACCCTAAACCCTAAACCCTGAACCCTGAACCCTGAACCCTGAACCCTGAACCCTGAACCCTGAACCCTGAACCCTAAACCCTAAACCCTAAACTTGGGGCATGTCGGACGTCTGTCATGTGCTGTGGCGAGGAAGCGCAAGCATGAAGAAGCCGCGAACGCCTTGGAGGCATGGCGCAGTGCCGAGGGCGACGGCTTCAACTTGGACACAGTTGCTCAAAGTGGTCGGTTGCATTGATTGTAGTAATAAAAATTCTTGGTTTATGTATGTTTTTAGGTACTCGCTTAAGAATATGGCTTTTATGGGATTATAGCAAAAGCCGAAACCTTGAATCCTAAAGCCAACCCTACTAGTTGGTAGTGTTTGGGCGCGCAGACAGAATTTAGCCACAGAATTTGGGGCGCAGACATATACATATGCATGTATCATGTACATATACACACACATATATACACCCATTCGTGGCTCTGTCATAAGATGCGCCTTGCGTAGCATGAAGGCTTGATCTTGGTTGAGTCTGAAGACTTCAGGCTCCTGGACCATGGCTATCCGTTGCCAAAGGCCCCCAAAGGCGTCCCTCAAAATCAGTGACGAATCTCTTGCCTCCCCGAGCTCGTTAGTCATAGTTGCCCGGCTACGTTCCCTTCGAGCTGAGCCCGGGCCAACTTCGAGCACATGGACTAGTCTGGAATATTTTCTCAAGCTGCGCTGGAGCCCTCTAAACTACACGAATCCATACAGGTGGGAAGAGCATCGGGAACGGGCAGAAGCCCATACGAGCAAGGGGGGGAGGGCGTGGAGGGCCGTGCGCGTGCGCTGGAGCCCTTTTGACAACACGAAGCCATACAGGTGGGAAGAGAAGGGGAGGGGGGGGTGGCAGGGTACGAGCCCTCAGGTGCGAAGAGCAGGGGGGGGGAGCCCCAGATGCAGAGCTGCGGTTTAGGGCTTAAGGTTTATAGGGTTTATAGGTTTAGGGTTTGGGGTTTAGGGTTTAGGGTTTAAAGTTCATGTTGGGTTCGGGGTGTATTGGGGGCGAGGACAGGAGGGCGGTGTCTTTTTCTGGCCTGGCCAGGGCCCAGACGATTCCTTCGCAGCAGCCGAAGGCGTGAAGGACCTCTGCAAAGCTTTTCCTGATGTCCCTGGCCCTTTTCTGATGTGCACATCCCTGGGGGTCCGGCGTTTTTTGTTCCAGGTGGCTCCGTCATTTTCCCTTTCTTAGGTCTGGCTGGTCCTCTGGTGCTGTGGTCCTCTGGTCCTGCGGTCGCCTGGTCCTGCAGTTCCCGGGTCCTGCGGTCTCCGTGGTCAATTTTTGAGCCTCCATTCCAAACCCATCATGCGAGCATTGTGTTTGTAAATGGCCAAACCCATCATCTTGAAACCAAAACAAAGCCACGCGAGCTTGCTTCAAGACAATATGGAACCCTTCCAAGCATATCATGCGAGCATTCTGTTGCAAATGGAAAAACCCATCCCCCCCCCCCCCCCCCCCCCCCCGCTGTTTTAAGCCGTGCAACCTTGCTTGAAGACCATACCAAGACCATACCAATCCCTTCCAAACCCAGCATGCGAGTATCGTGTTTGCAAATGGAGGGGGGGGTCTGTCCTCCCCCCACCACCCACATACAAATCTTTTCCAAATCCATGATATGAGCATCGCGTTTGCAAATGGAGGGGGCTGCGACCCCTCCAGCCCCCCCAAGTTTTTTGAGCCGCACAAGCTTGCTTTAGAACAGTACGAATCCCTTGGAGTCGCTGGTGGTCTGTTTGATGGAGGGTGTCTGTCCTTGCGTTGTCTGGCCTCAAGAACCGTGGCATCAATCTAGTATCAATATCAAGACCTATTCGGTCCTGCGTGCTCTGAAGCCCAGCTCGGCACTTTACTAAATTCCGACGTTTCAGAACGGTTCAGGACGGTTTGGGGCTGTTTCTGAACAGGGTTCTAGCAGTTCCTGAGACCTGCGTGATGGTTCCCGAGCCCCTGTTGGCGCACACACGCACACACGCACACACAGGGTTTAGGGTTTAGGGTTTAGGGTTTAGGGTTTAGGGTTTAGCGACACAAACAACCGGGCATTTCAACGAATCTCTGTCAAATCCCATCATGCGAGCATCGTGTTTGCAAATGGGGGGGGGTTCTGTCCCCCCCCAACCCCCACGCTATTGTAGGCTGTGCAAGCTTGCTTCAAAACATATGAATCCTCTCCAAGCCCATCATAAGCTTCTCGGCTCGGATCACATGTTTCTTTGGTAGGGGGTCAACCGGGTTCGAGGCCAAACAGGTTCTCTGTTCAACTGGACCCCCTCCGGACGCTGTAGTTCTTGCTTTTGCACATGGTTTCTCAATACTGAGCCTGGGGAAGCCGCACTTCGGCACCCATTCACAGATGCAATGACGATGGCGATATGTCAGAGACCCGTGCATTCAGGTTGTCCTCGGTGCACTCACTGGCCTTCATGGATCTGGTATGGTATTTGCATGGCATTCTGCTACTGGATGTTTTTGGAGACGCCTTTGCCACTTGATGAGCTGGTTGCGCAAACGCAGTTAGCCCCACGGTTGGGAGATACACGAGTGACACCTTCAAGCATCCTCACTGCAGGTCCGCTCTTCTTTATTTTACGAGCCGTGCCGGTCCCAAGTCCGGCAACCAGCATTGGATGGGCCACTGAAGACAGGCCAAAAGTATTGCTGGTAGAAGTGAGGGTTGCTGCAGATTCCAGTGCTGCAGCGGGAGCCAGTCAGGTTCGTGATCACCTGGGCTTCATGTGTGGGCGAAGATACTGGCCAGGCATTATGTACGCACCTACGCTTCGGGGCGGACTGCAAGGTACAGTGTTTTCACTGCCAGCGAGCTCGCGCCTATGCTCAGTGCTTGGTTTATTTATTTCGTGTTTGCTTTGGTTCTTCATGTTGTATGACTATTCATTGCCACTTACGGTTGCCAGGCTTTGCGGCAATCAGGCATTTTGGGATGAATGTATGGCCACTTGCGGTTGTCAGGCTTTACGGCAACCAGGCCTATGGGCAGGGCGCCGTTTTCGGCCCCTACATTGTGCTGCTACAGTTTGTCTCTATGCAGATGAATTCGTTTTTGCTGAGGCGACGTCTGGGACTGCTCTGATGGCCCACCTCATGGTGCTTTCACTTTCGGTTGCAACAGCTGGAAGGATATGTGACGACATTCGTTGTGGACAGTTCGTTCCTGTTTCCCACCTAGCCCTTCTGGGATTTCGTGGGTCGGCCCATGGCGAGGCAACTTGCGCGATGCGACGAGTCACTGTAGTACCAGACTCTCCATGGAGGTCCTCAACTGTCTGCCCTACGAGTTTGGATCATCGTTGAGCTGACCATATTTGACTCAGTTCTTTGCTTGTACAATGCATGTGCTGGAGCTGTACCACACACTCACCCCATAATTGCTTGGTTTTTCTTGGCCACTTGCGATTGCCAGGCTTCACGGCAACCTGGCCTGTGGGCGGGGGCGCCGTGTTATCGGCCCTTCTATTCAATATGCTGCTGCTATTTTATTTTCTTATCTGGTGGGTGCATTGGGCTTCCTCAACGTGATGGTCCCCTACGCTGTGTACCTGCCGCTGAGGTATTCTTGGGATTGCTCTGATGGTTCTCTTTCCTCGTGGGGTGCTTCTGCCAGCTTTCTCTCATGGAGGCTGCCGCTTTGGCAAAGCTTGCCAAAAGCAGTGATTCCAGAATTGTTGGCGGTATGCATGGAGGCTTGTTGTGGACTCCGTTTCGCTTGAAATTGGCCTGTGGAGTGCATTTCGATGCTCTAGTGGACTCTGAGTCCGTCCCTCCATGGAGGTCCTCAACTGACTGCTTTTCATGAGTGAGATCCATCATTGAGCTGACCATTTTGTAGCTCAGTCCTGAAGTTGTACAGTGTACAGGGCTTGCGCAGCACTTGTCTCGGGGTTGCCGTTTCCGGCCCCCTGCCCAAGGCAGAGTGGCGTGATGTGTTTTTCATTTCTTCATTTTGACAATTCATTTACTGTTCAGCTGAGCTGTCACAGTCTACTCCCTAGTTAGTAAGCGCGAGAACGCTAGGTTGAGCGACTGTGAGCGCTGGAGACCCTGTACTGCACAGTTTGTTGAACTTCGGTTCCTGTGCAGTTGCCTTGCATGTCCATACCCGAAGCTGTTAACCGCCGCCACAGAGCGGCCGTGACATATGTCATGAACTACAGCTAGCTAGTAGGTCAGACCAGACCGCTGCGGAATCGAGTTCGAGTTCCAAGCCCATCATGCGAGCATTGTGTTGCCAAAATGGGGGGGGGGCTGACCACCCACCAGCTCGCCTGCTTTTTTTAAAATCATGCAAGCTTACGAATCCCTTCCAAAACTCATGCGAACATCGTTTTTTTGCAATTTGGGGGGGGGGGGAGGGGGGGTGCTCTGCTCAACCCCGTTGCCAAACCCCCCCCCGCGTCTCAAGATTTCAAGCTCCACGGTATTGAACATGCGTCAAAACCCTAACAATAGTGCAGCATTTTCAGGTTTTAAACAGTGCTTTCCGCATTGCAAGTTCCTGTACACTTACAAGAACGCGAAACAAAGCTGCAATGGGTACCATTTATGTACGCTGGCAGGCCCCCCGCCCCCATTTGCAAACGCGATGCTCGCATGATGGATTCGTATGGTCATGATGGTCTGAAAGCACGGCTTACAACTCAGCAATTTACATTTTTTAATGCACGTGAATACTACACTTGCCAGGATTTGGAGTACTCTCAATGTAATTACCCGGGACCCAGGACCTGGAAATGCAGAGAACACTGCTATTTACAGTGTGAAAAGCCCGTGAATACTGTAATTTCCCTGTTTTTGAGCATTGTCAAAAAGGCGAACGTACACAAATACGGTGGTTTACAGGTTTTGGCGCTGTGTTTGTAACTTTCCAGGAGCGCGAAACACGGACAACTCGGCAAATTATGTTTTTTTTAAGCTTATGAACCACAGCCTGTGAACCACAGAGGTGTCAAGCCAGACCTAGGAAAGGAACAAAAGGAGCCAGACCTGGAAAAAAAAGCCTCGCCAAAGCCCTGGCACGCCGAATGCTGGGTGATAACAGTGGACGGTGATTAAGCAGGGAACTTGGAAACTTGGCAGTCGTAGGCGTGGCTGATGGAGGGGTTGTGTGTTGTCTCCGTCGGCATGACTCTCCTGAGTTTGCAAGCGGCTTACTTTTTTGGTGTCTTGTGTTACACGCTCCTTGGCTGAGCACTTTGGGTCACGGAAGAGGGTTCCTCGACTCAAATCCCGAGAAAGTGCCGATATACATGAAGGCCCTCCCCGATGGGATGTCCGAACTTTGAACCCTGAGATTTCTTCTAAATGTTCGTGAGTAAAAAATGCGTGGCTTAATGTGGAAACGCCGTACATGCCACGCGGGCAAAGCACACACATTCCACGTGTCCCCGTCAAGGGATGATGTATGCACTAGAAATGCAGGGCCATCGATGCACCACGTAGACAATGTTGAACCCGGTCCCTTGTGCACTGAGCAACCCTTCCTTTGCACCTCAATGTCAGAGGTTGCAGAATCAGACTACACGACGAGCATTCATGTATCCATGAAATCGCAAGCTAGACTTGAGCACAACCCTAAACCCTGAACCCTAAACCCTAAACGGGCCTAAACCCCAAACCCCAAACCCCAGACCCCAAACCCTAAACCCTAAACCCTAAACCCTAAATCCTAAACCCTACACCCAAGTACCAGGTTCATGTCCAGCTTCCCCCGCGGAAAGCCGTGCTGACCAGGATTGCTCTCTGCCATTCTTGCAGCTGGATTCGGAGCAAGGCTCTTGGAGTTTAGGGTTTCGGGTTTTGGGTTGGGTGTCTAGGGTTTAGGGTTTAGGGTTTAGGGTTTAGGGATGAGGGTGTCTGTTTTGACACATTCGTGGGCCGCTTGTTTCACTCTGTTATTTGAGAGACTTGTGCCACAGTCTTCTCATGCCTTTTCCATCTTGGGCACGGAACGTATTGCATCCAGTAAGTGGCGAAGCCTAAGACCGAAGGGAATAGGGTTTAGGGTTTAGGGTTTAGGGTTTAGGGTAACATTCTGTGCAAGACGCTGCTGCCTGTATGCTTCGCAATCCTCGTCTAAGCGACTGACGACGCTTTCACCTTCAGACTCGGTTTGGGGGACCGAGAATAGGCGGTCCAGCCTAGAAATGCTAGTCCAGAACGGGTTTACTCGTAGGGTTTAGGAATCGCTTTAAGCTAGGCTCCTCTGGACAGCTCTCAACATGTCTCGATGCTTTCGCCTCTCGACCGTCTATCCGAATCGAGTTTTCCAGCACGCAGCCGGCAACTGTCCTGAACAATTCCAGTACCTTATCACTTGTCAACCTTCCAAACTTTGCGTGGTCCTAAAGCAAAACAGAACCCTAAAGCCGAAAAATCCGGCAATTCCCCGAAAGCCTTTTTCATACATATAACCCTAAACCCTAAACCTTAAGCCCTAAACCTTAAGCCCTAAACCCTAAACCCTGAACCCTAAACCCTAAACCCTAAACCCTAAACCGAGTGTCTCCGAGGTCGCGGGCTTTGCAGAAGGCCCTGCGGCTTCGACATGTTCGGAACGTTTGAGGGAGCCTTCAACCTTTCAAGCACAAGCCCACTCTTCTTTAGGGTTTAGAGTTTAGGGTTTGGGGTTTTGGGTTTAGGGTTTAGGGTGGCTAGTTCGAGTTCGATAAGCATCTCTGCTTGTTGTCCTTCAGGCTATTGAGGCTGAATTCCCCCCCTTCTCCCCCGAAACCGTGGTCCAAACCTCGATCCGCACACCGATCGTCAGAATGTGAGCTCTGAAGATGGTGCTGTAAGTTTAGGGTTCAGGGTTCAGGGTTCAGGGTTGGGGTTTGGGGTTTAGGGTTTAGGGTTTAGGGCCGGTAAATCCGTCCGTGAACAGTCTTCGGCGCAGAAGTGGAGAGATCGGTGCAGTGGTGGTGACCTTCACAGTCTTTGTGCAAGTTTGCCCTGGGCCGACGTCTCCCCCATCTTCCAGCAAGGAAACCCAGCACCCTTGGCAGACCCCCACCGAGCCCAGTGAGACCCCCAATTCAGTGAACCCCCTAAATTTAAACCCTAACCCTAAACCCTAAACCCTAAACCCTAAACCCTAAACCCTAAACCCTAAACCCTAAACCCTAAACCCTAAACCCTAAACCCTAAACCCTAACCAGGACCTCCTCAAGGCCCCTCCCTTCCTGCCCTAAAAGGCGATGAAGGGCGATCCAGAAGACCTCCTGCGCCTGGTCATGGAGTTGGGACCTCGACACCCTTTGGCGGTTGCCAACTAGGGCCCGCACTGTTGTCGGTTTGGCTTCTGAGGGTGTGCGGGTACCAGCAACAGCTTCATAACAATTCTAGGATTCAGGCTAATACATTCCATCAGAAACGATAACAGTTCCGCCTCTCCACCGCCCAGCCCCGCAGAATCTTGGTTCGGGAGAGGGGTTTGGGGCTTGTCCTCCCCTCGATCTTAAATGTACTCGGGCTCCTGATTGCGAAGACCCCGTTGGCCCGGCGAGCCCGTGGTTGAAGTTGCACATCGTTGCACCCTTGCACAGTACCAGTCGACTCAAGGCTTAATGTTCTGGTTGTATGAGGCCGACACAGCTGGCGAGTGCTGATGCGGGCCGTGGTCCTAGCAACAGCGCCCAACATCTCACCCTTCACGCCCAACTTTGGGGATCGACGTTTTCGGTGGTAGCAGCAAGTTCTGATATGTCGTTTGGGCTAACAGAACCACCGCTGCCTGAATTTCGAGTGCACCGGACATGCGGCACCGTCTAAATCTCCCGTGGCAACTCTCTACAGCTGACGTCCTCAAACCTTAAACCCTAAACCCTAAGCCCTAAACCCTAAACTTATCCCTGGAAGCTAGCAGGCCCCTCTGGAGCGCTCCTCCTGGAGCAGCTGCGTGCGGGCTTGAGCTTGCGCTGGCTTGTAAAAGTACTGCAACCTTACGGATCAGAGTTTGGTAGTTGCAGGGGGTGAGTTCGAAAGTTTAGGGCGTTAGGGTTTGTGGGCGTCCGGGTTTAGGAGATTCCGCACCTCTTCACTTGCAGAGGCTGTCTGGGCGCAAAGCTCAAGAGCACGGTGGCTTCACAGTTGTCGTGGCGCACGGGACCCCCAGCAAACGCAGTGCGCTGAGACTGACGCTGTGTGATGTGCTGTAGGTTCGCAGAGTCGATCGTCCTTGTTAATTGACGACTGAGACTGGCGAGGCACACCATAGCCTTAGATGATCTTCGCACTCAGCCAATTAGAAGCTTGATGCAACAGATCCATATTCAGAATCAAGACTCAAGACCACTCGGCCATTCCACCCGTACCAGCAACCTGAACTCGATAGCTTTGAAGCGTTCAGCGAGCTGTAAGGCTTGCAAAAATGCTGAACCAAAGAAATTTGGAAACCGGAGAATTGAGCAGAAGAGAGTGGCTCTGTAGTGTGGACGTCGGCTCGCATCAACCTTACAGCAGTACGCGGTGACGCGCCACGTTGCAGCAAAACATGTCTACTGTCAGTCATATGAGGGGGGGTGGTTCTTTCCGTTTCTTGTGTCTTCTTGTAGTTCGTTGTGCATCGATGTCAAATCGATCCACTTTGCGTGTTTGAATTGTTCTCCGGTTGTTTCCTGCCTTCATATCTCAGGTATTCTCAGCTTCTCTCGGGCCGTTCATGTGTCAGCCCTTTTCAGTCTCCAGTTGGAACTTTCGGCCTCACGAAGAATGCTGGTTGGTTGTCGGTGGCTTGTGGAGTGATGAAAGTGTACCAGACAAGAGATCTGGCCCTTGCAAATTTGCCCAAATTGTTCCGAAATGCACTGTGCAGGACGTCTCAAGTTACGTGCACGATCGGTTAATCGCTTCAACTGGTACCTTTCTGATGTCAGCATGATCGGCAAATCGCTATTCACCGCTAGTCTTTTGAAAACGTTGCTTCCTTCTAGCCCTTTGTAGTTACGCCGCCACGGAATCAACAAAGGCACTCCATATCGCTTTCTGTATGCGGCTCCTTCGCTTCGGAGAAGCGGCAAAGTACAGAAATCACCCCTAACGGGACCTGGAGCTACCACATAAACTAGAACAAGAATGACTGCAGGCAAGGCACACCCAGGGTATAGAACAGAACACAGGGTCTTTAAGCGCTTAGGCATTAGAGTGATGATGGCTTACATTCCTTTGATCTGTTCCGCTAGATTGCGTCGCAGATCTGATTCTTGCTCGCCGAGGTACTGCGTTTGGCAGCAGCTCTAGCCCCGTCAAAGCTGGCATGCTTGACCTGCCATACGCAGCATCTAGATCTTCCAAAACCCCTTGACTAAGGAACATAACATACCCTAGTTTATACTAAGGATCCTTGTTATGATTTAGGGTATATTCCTCAACTAAGGGGTGTTGGAAGATCTGGGTATCCACCAGACCCTGACTCCGAGGACCTTCGGACCCAATACACTTGACCCTGCATGCGCCGGACCTTGACATCCAATCCACTTGACCCCGGTTTAGGGTTTAGGGTTTAGGGTTTAGGGTTTAGGGTTTAGGGTTTAGGGTTTAGTGCGCCGGCATAGTGCCAGGCTGGAAACAGTGGCGTGGATGGAGGAGGCTCGAGTGGTGTTTGAGTATTCACATGTATTCACACTGATACTGACGTTGCCCGAGCTGCTCAAGGCTGACAAGTTAGGGTTTAGGGTTTAGGGTTTAGGGTTTGGGGTTTGGGGTTTGGGGTTTGGGGTTTAGGGATCGCCCTGAGTAACCTTGAGCTGGAGCTGGCCCTGCCTGAGTACGCTTGCACTCCCTTCACGCCTGAACCGGCAAAGGCATCACTGCCCTCAGCTGGAGAGCTGCTGCCGCTGCCCGCCGAGGATGGAGTCCGGAAGTCTGGCTTTTAGGGTTTAGGGTTTAGGGTTTAGGGTTAGGGCGATACGGTAGAACAGGGAGCAGGGCATAGGCATGCGGCATAGTGCGCCGGTTTCACGAGATCTACGGCCTCAGCGTTGTAGGATGCACTGTTCACACGACACAGGATCACCTGGTAGAACTGCGCGGCTCTCAGGACCTCAACAGTCTCAAAACATCTCCATGTGGGCACTTCCCAAAATAGAGGGCTACCCCTTTCATACCCCAAATAGAATAGAACCCCCTTAAAGGGGACTCCCAAAAAGGGAGGAACCCCCCCCCCTCCCCCATGTGTCCCCAAAGGCCCCCAGGGGCCCCATAGGGCCCCAAGGGTCAGACCCAAGGCCTTGAGATCGAGAGATGCAGCTGCAACCACTGTTATGGTTGGTGCGAGAATTGGTGCAATAAGCAGAAGTGTTGTAAGTGTTGCAGTAGTTTTGGTGTTCGTGTTGTGATGGTGATAGGGTCAGTGGTGGTGGTGGTGTTTGTGGTGGTGGTGGTGGTGGTCGTGGTCGTGGTGGTGGTGGTGGTGGTGGTGGTGGTGGTGGTGGTGGTGGTGGTGCTGCTGCTGCTGCTGCTGCTGCTGCACTGCAAGTGCTTGCCAATCTACGCACCATTGCGCACAAACCCTATAGAAGCTGGCCTTGCATCCTGGCCACGGCTCAATGCGCTGTGGCTAGCAGATTGTCTCCTAGCTCCATCCGCACTGGCTAAAGCTTCATCCCGAAACCCGAAGATAGCAATCAACTGCACCGTCAGAGGTTCGCAACTACGCCGGTGCCCACACTCGAAAAAACAGTGCTGCAGGCCCTGGACGAAGAGGAGTGCAATTCTGCAACTTTTGCATGTGATCATGTGTGCATACAAGAATGACCGCTTGTCGATTCCGTTCTGCAGGGGCCCCACGGGCTTGCTTGTTGGCGTGAAACAACAAACGTCTAATTACAAAGCAAGGCTAGCGTGCCTGCAGAAGGCATGTGATGACAGTTGTGGTCTTTCCGTTTTTTTTTAATCGTGTTTCAAGTCTGCCGCTGCACGCCTGGGCCATGCTCGGTGGTGTGGTTCTCAGGGCATCGGAGCATCTTGGAGCGACCCGACATCCAAAAACCTCGAAACCACAAGAGCGTGCAAAGCCCGTAATCAGTTAGAGCAGGCGGTTTTGACGATTGGGAAAGAAAATGCTCAACAGGTGGTTTGCGGGCTGGATTCCGAAACTAGGTTCGCAACATTGCGAGATGTCGTGGCAGACTGCATACGACCAGCTTTCGGCTGCATCTCCCAATGCAGGATAAGTGCAGGATAAGATTTCGCTGATCTTTTTGAAATGCTTGGTTCACTCCGATCGCTCAGACTAATCAGTAAACCCAGAGAAAACTTTCCAGCATTTTTTGTGGATTGTTCATTTACCTTTAACATTCTGCCAAATTTGCAGGAGCGCATCCACCCCAGTCCGACGCCCATCGAGTGAGCTGGAGGGGGATTGTTCAGATTGTTTCAGTTGCGGTTTGGGTTTAGGGTTTAGGGTTTCGGGTTCAGGGTTCAGGGTTTAGGGTTTAGGGTTTAGGGTTCAGGACTTTGCAACCTGGGCTGCAGGGTTGAAGGGTTGATAGGTGGAAACATGCTCATAACTTTCGGGCTGCTGGGGCTCAAACAACTGCGCAGCACCCCTCAACCCGCTCGCGCATGTCCATCCCCAAAGCATGGCCCACACCAAACTCTAAGCGAGTCCCGGACCTCACTGGTGTCCCATCCCCTGCAGGCCCAACTCGAGGCGCCCGTGCGCGCTTCCTTCTCCAGCTGGAGCAGCCCGACAGCGGATGCTAAGTTCAGGGGGCGTTGAAGGCAAAGTGGGATTTCAGGATTTCAGTTGCCACGCACGACCACTTCTGACTTGCGCCCCTCAATCCGAAACCCCTGTTGACCCTAAAGCATCCTAGACCTCTGAAGCTGCTGTTAACCTCCAAGCCTTCAATAAACTCGACCTAAACCCTAAACCCTCAACCCCAAACCCCAAACCCTAAACCCCAAACCTCAAACCCCAAACACTAAACCCTAAACCCTAAACCCTAAACCCCAAACCCCAAACCCTAAACCCTAAACCCTAAACCCTAAACCCATCCTCAGCCTCAACCGAAATCCGAGGCTGCGCCGAGGTCAGTCCCAGGCGCTGGGCACCGCACTCGGCCCGAGGCTCAGGCTTGGGAGCTGTTGGGGTCGGGAGCAAAAAGCAGCAGCCTTGGGCTTAGGGTTTAGGGTTTAGGGTTTAGGGTTTAGGGTTTAGGGTTTAGGGTTTAGGGTTTAGGGCTTAGGGTTTAGGGCTTAGGGCTTAGGGCTTAGGGCTTGAGGGCTTGGGGCTTAGGGCTTAGGGCTTAGGGCTTAGGGGGCTTAGGGCTTGAGGGCTTAGGGCTTAGGGCTTAGGGCTTAGGGCTTAGGGGGCTTAGAGGGCTTAGAGGGCTTAGAGGGCTTAGGGCTTAGGGCGTGGGGCTTAGGGCTTAGGGCTTAGGGCTTAGAGGGCTTAGAGGGCTTAGAGGGCTTAGAGGGCTTAGAGGGCTTAGAGGGCTTAGGGCTTGGGGCTTGGGGCTTGGGGCTTAGGGCTTAGGGCTTAGGGGGCTTAGAGGGCTTAGAGGGCTTAGAGGGCTTAGGGCTTAGGGCTTGGGGCTTAGGGCTTAGGGGGCTTAGAGGGCTTAGAGGGCTTAGAGGGCTTAGGGCTTAGGGCTTAGGGCTTAGGGCTTAGGGCTTAGGGCTTAGGGGGCTTAGAGGGCTTAGAGGGCTTAGGGCTTAGGGCTTAGGGGGCTTAGAGGGCTTAGAGGGCTTAGAGGGCTTAGGGCTTGGGGCTTAGGGCTTAGGGCTTTGGGCTTAGGGCTTAGGGGGCTTAGAGGGCTTAGAGGGCTTAGAGGGCTTAGGGCTTGGGGTTTGGGGTTTAGGGTTTCGGGTTTAGGGTTTAGGCAAAGAGGGGACCAGGAAAAGAGGGAAGTAATGCTTCTTTGAGGTGTTGGTTTCAGTTAGTTTCAGGCTGGTGGCTGTGGTTCTGTGGTCCCCTGCTGCAGCCCGGTTCTCTGCTCCGGTGGTCCTCTCTGGTCTTGCCTCTGCTCCCGGACTCCTGGTCCTCGGCCCATGCACGTTTGGGCGCCGGCAATGCTCGGAGCCATGAACGCATGGCAAGGGCTGTGCTTCCTTCCTGCCTCGTGGGCTTTTGGATGGGCTCGCTCCATGTGTCCGTAAGGCATCTGCCGTTCATGGGCTTCCGGCTTCCGAACCAAAAACAAGCACGAAGCAGCGCAGTCACAGATAGTGACCCTATACCCTAAACCCTAAACCCAAAAACCTAAACCCTAAACCCTAACCAGTCCGACAAGCGCTGCAAGTCCTCAACGTAATCCCGCCCGAAAGGCAATTTCCTGAACGCGGTCGGGCCCATCGGCGTCTCGGACCAGAAGCTCCCTGGCTTAGGGTTTAGGGTTTAGGGTGTAGGGTTTAGGGTTTAGGGTTCAGGGTGCCACTTAAACTCGGCCCAGTATCAGTTTCCAGAGCCCTTTCCGCGAGCCGGTCGCTTCATGTCACTTCACCTTGTCTAGACATCTTGCGCAATTCGGGGTGCTGAAACATGTGCAGCAAGGCTGGTTTCTGCAGTCCTGCAGTCCGATGCTCTACCGATGAGCTTTGCCGAGGAGGCTCTGAAGCAGTACGTGCCTGGCTGAGGTCGTTGGCATGCAGAAACTGGCAGAAACCCTAAACCCTAAACCCTAAACCCTAAACCCTAAACCCGAAAAGAATTCAAGCGCTCCAATGCCAAGAGATGCAGATGTGGAGAGAAGGAGTGGGCCGGAGGGCATCAAACAAACCGGTGAAGTGCGAGGTCAAGGCCGCGGCGGCAGCACCTGAGCTACGCCAGGCCGACCTCACAGTTAGGTTGAATTTGCATTGTGGTTGCTGCCACCTCGCCCAGCAGCGTTGGGCAGAGATCAAGACATGGCTAGCCACAAAGGCATCCTTGCAATATGATGTCATCGGGTGATGCACTGGAATGAGATGGCTGAGTTTGACGTAGAGGGATTCAGGTGCATCTCCTCTGTTCAAGGGGAAGATGGAAGGGACAGAGCTCCGAAATTCAAAGCGGGGGCTGGGCGCACGACCCAAAGCCAATTCGAAAGCGTCGATACAGGCGACGGAAGGATCGTCGGTCGGATGGGGTTGAGATTCTGCTGTCTGTCTCGGACGTACGCAATGGAAGCGACTGACTGGTGGTACCGGATCCGGATGAGGTCAATGCCCATGCCGATCCGGAAGAAGTTCCCTAGCGGCGTCCTGCAAAGCCCCCACCCCCTAATCTTGCTTGCCCCCTTCACTTTGAACCTAAGAGTCTACAGCAACTCGTACAGCGGCTACTACCCCGCAATCCTGCCCCTCGCTCTTCTTTTTCACATTGGCACCTCAAGAAACTTAGATCGTTCCCCTGGCCAGTCTGCCGCGGCCCTGCTCGGCGTCATGCAGCCTCGTTTCCGGCGCCAGTGGCAGGTCTGGGATGGTGTGGGGCCGAGGGTCCTATGTAATGGGGCCGAGGATGTCGTATAATGTAAGGCATCAGGACATAGCATCCTGGCATCTGTTGATGGACACAATGTGCAGAGCTTCGTTGCCAGACTCCTGCTGTTGTCGCAGTCGCCGCCAGGTGTCGGCAGCGCAGCGATTGCTCGCCCATGCACGTTCTCTGACTGCCATTTATCAGTCGTTACAGGAGCCCTTTCTGTCAAGAATTGAGATGACGTAGCGATGGCCTGTTCGGCACGCGATGGTTCCCATGTTGATAGCCGTAGGAAGATTGATAAGCAGTTCGAAGATTGAGAACTGGAAGGTCTGAGTTCGAGGTTTGCATCAGAAATGTGAGATGGTAGCTGCGTGCGGTCATGTCAGAATGGTTTTCAGGGCCACCATGGGCATGATCATCGTCGTCTGGTCTTCCATGTTTTCATACGCCGTACTCACAATCGTCGCCGTCATCTTCGTCGTCGTTGTCATCATCGGCCTGTTCATGAGTATCATCAGTACCAACAACTTCACCCAACATATCCTCAACACTGAAAGAAAGTTTTAAACTGGAGCGAAGAACATTTAAGCACTGACGCAGGTCAGCGCGTACCAGGACTGCAGCTAGCTATGTAGCTAGAAAGGGCGCAAGTGCCAGAAGCCCTGCACCCGTTACCACAAACCCAGCCCGAAAACTCTGGAGGCCCCTTCACCCTAGACCCTCAACCCCTAAACCCTAAACTTCCCTAAACCCTAAACCCTAAACTTCAGGCGAGGATGGCGAGGTGCCCGAATGGCTGCTGGAGCATGCTGTGCGCTGGTGGCCTGAGCTCGTACCCTCGCAGTGGGAGCAGCTGCAGGACCGTCATCGGGCCATCCACGCTGGCGTCTACGATGTGGGAGTTTAGGGTTTAGGGTTTAGGGTTTAGGGTTTAGGGTTTAGGGTTTAGGGTTTAGGGGAATACTAGGAATATGTAGGACAGGATTTGGGACTGGCACTGTTTCACTTTGGTGTAGGCTGAGGCTGCGGCAGCTGTTCGCACGGGGGCACAGACATGATGCCTTACCCTGAACCCTTAACCCTAAACTCTAAACCCTAAACCCTAAAACGATTATCGGTTAAGTGCACAAGGCAGCTGCCAACCCCTAGGCTGTAGCGGCGGCGAAGGTTCTCAAAGGCAAGATACTGCCTGCCACATAGCGAGCTACTCACAAGAAGTCGAGCAGTGAAGCAAAACCCAATCAGGACTTGCGGGCCCGCTCATCAGCACCCCAAGACTGAAGCCAAAAGACCCAACATGCCCTTAGAATAGCCTTACCCTAAACCCTAAACCCTAAACCCTTCTGAAGTCCTGCTCAGGATTTCGTGGCCCGCGTGAAGGCTGGCTACAGCGCCTCTATGTCTCGAGGCGCATAACTTGCAGCTGCATTTGCCTACTTCTTGCAGCAAAAGAACAGCCCGCTCAGCAAAAAAAGAAATAGAAGCGGTCCAAGCTTTCTCCGAGGGGACCGGCTTCGGCGGCAGCTGCTGGTGGCTTGGGCAGCTGAGGATGCATCTGTCTCCATCCAGGTCCGCAGAGGGTTCCGGAGTCCAAGCCCTGTTACGTGTGCATGTCTCAAACTCGGAAGACACTTTACACCCCCCCTCCAATGGACCAACCTCGACATGGAAAGTTACATGAGATACTTCCGGGGGCTCCATAAGCACGAGCCAGCTCAAGAGTTCAATCGAACCTTCTACTAGTAACAAGAAATGCATGCCCTGGAAGTGAATGGTCACTTCACTTCACTAAGGAAAGGTTCTCTAACCGAACAAACCTTCCTACTTAGTAGGGATAGGGGTCAAAAAATAAAAAAGGGTCAACAACAAAATAAAGAGGGATCAATAAACAAATAAACCCAAAACCCTTCAAACCCTCAACCCTAAACCCTAAATCCTGAACCCTGAACCCTGAACCCTAAACCCTACCCTAAACCCTAAACCCTCGGTTGTTTGTTTTTTGGGATGCTTTTCAAGTTTTTTGATCCGGCAGCCATTGTACCGGACCGAAACAAAATCTTGTTGGCTTCCTGGGAGGGATATTGGGAAACTGTCTTCATTTGAGCAGTTCGACATTCTAGCAGGGTCTAGTATAATATCCCAGGTGTATTACCAAGGTTGTAAGATTTAGGGATCAGAGAAACTGAAACACGTGTCGTCGAAAGGCAAGGGTTTTCAGGAGATCTAAACTGTCTTAGACAGTACTTAAAAGGATGGCAGCATGGTCCTTATTGAAAGAAATGTCATTCAGCTTAACTTTCTTTGAGCAAATATACTTTTCTGTTTTGACCTCATTAGCACAGACCTGCGCAGAGCACATGAGCATGTTTTGTTTTCAGTGGTTCAAATACTTGAGACTCTTACAAGGTTTTTACATACAGAAAACTTATTGTCAAACATTCTTCTTGAATACCCTAACCGCAACTAGTAACCTCTTAGTTCATGCAGTGGTCACTCTTCAAGTAGTGAGGCCTCCTGCTGGGACGCCAATGGAGTTCTGATAGGGGTACATTTTTATGAACGCCGCCCTCTTATAAGTGATACTGGGGAAAGCCGTACGGCCCAAACTCCACTGTGAACATTTCTTCAGAAAATCCAAAAACCCGCAAACTTCCAAACTTTCCTGGGAGGAGTTTCTGGGGAGGCTCGGATTGTTGGATGTTTGCATGTTTGTTTTTTATTTTGAGATTTGTGCTCTTCTCTGCTTTGGACAAGTATAGAAAACAGCGCACAGTGAACCAAAACCTTGCAAACAAAAAGAAAACCAAAACAAGCACAGTGATTCTAGCTGAAGTTATGTTTTTGTAGGCCAAGGCAAAATACCTCAACATCCAAAGTTTCCTGGAAGAAGCTACCGCAATATACAATAATGAAATACTGCTGACATACTAATTAAATACCACAGTGTATGATATACTATGTCGAATTGGCACAACTCGCATAGACATAACATACAGAGTTACCTTGAAGAAAATAATAAGAACCCCAATTTTCTCAAGCCTGTGCCCCCCCAGCCTGGCAAACCCTGAGATTCCCTGTCCAATTGTCTATCCGTGGTCTTTTAGGGCATCGGGACGCTGACCCCCCTTTTCTCCCAGTAGCAGCTTCGGGAAGGGAAATGCTGGCTTCAGGACGTGTTTCTCAAGAAAAGCGAATGGAAATGTAACTTTTTGGATAGAGAGGGGTTCGGGAGTTTGCTATGGAAAGAAGCTGTCTTGAAACCCTTGAGTTCCGAACTTTTGGAGGTTCTTGCAACTTTATGGGGGTTGGGGAGTTTCTAAGGTTTGGGTTTGGGGACATTTAGGCTTCTTCAAAGGAAGAACGTTCGCAAAACACAAATGACATCAAACCCTATGGACATCTGACGTTGCGAAGATCCACTAAATATCCACACAATTTGACAGCATCTTCGGCTCCCCGCAGGGTTAAGTTTTAGGATCTGCGAGTCTGGAGAGATTCTTCTCGTTGCCTCCATTCTCTGGTGAAGAACTCGACAATGCTTCATGTTGAGTATTTCGTGTGAGGTCACTCACAGAAGCAAGCATTCTTGCGTCAGAAAAGGTCTTCGTTTCGTAGGGCTTCTCCAATGTGAGCATGCAGCCTTTGACATCGATACCCTGATGCCCCTTCCCCCCTTTTCTGCCAGGAGCAGTTTCGGGCTGGGAAGTACTGGCTACAAGACGTTTCTCGCGAAAAGAGAATGGAAAAGTGTCTTTTGAGATGCCCCAAATGTCTATTCCCGGGCATTCCTGGAAAAAAGACACGTGCTTATCTGCAAACACAGTATTCCCGTTTATGGTGTCCCCCTATCTAGGTAGTCTTGCGTAGTCCCGCATACAAACGGTCCCCAACTAGGTGTGTCTATGTATGATGTGTATAATCATTCTACCTTGTAGTTGCATGTTCATGTGATTGTTGAGACAATAAAGAAGGTTTTCAGAGATGCACCTTCGAGGAAGGAAGGAGATCGCAAATACTGTGCTGCTGTGTTTTTGCTCTTGCGCACTCCGAAGGTTTTTTTTTTTTGGTGGTGGGGGGGGTTGCATTACACATATAGATAGACATGCATATATATATATGTATACATTATCTATCTATCGATCTCTGTATCCCTCAAATCTCTTGCTCACACCTGGGGTTCCTTGGAGGTGCCGGAGCCAGCTCCGAGGGAGCCTTGGGCTTTCCGCGCCTGGGTGGGGGCGTTGGATCCCTGGACCGCCACCTGGGACTGGGATCTGGATGCGCGGAGGCCCCTTTAGGGTTTAGGGTTTAGGTTTTAGGTTTAGGGTTTAGGGTTTAGGGTTTTGAGCCCAGTTGATGTCTCTTGAAGGTGTTTGCTGGAGGCTGTTGAGCTGCTTTGCCTAAACCTGTTATATGACTTGGGATGTTCCCCCTCATACTAGCAGTCAACAGTTCTGTTTTGCAGCTCCTGAGGCCTTCGGAAACGGGTGTGGTGTTGGGATGTTCCCCCGTATACTAACAGTCTTAACAGGGATCATCATAGGGCTAGGGGGTACTAGAATCCCCATGAAGAACTGTTAGTATAAGGGGGAAGATCCCAAGTTATCTAACATGTCCTACTTGCGCGGTGTTGTTGCCCCAGAATTCTGTGTCTGAAAGGCTCAAGGCCACTACAGAGACCTTCAGCTTCGATCGCGATTCCGTGGACTCCGTGGATCCTTTACCTCCCGGGCAGGCTCTCCTGAGTCGACACAGATTGGGCCTATTTTGCTTGGGATGTTCCCACTTCTGCTAGCAGTCCTTAGTAGGGATTTTAATAGGTGGGTACTAGAATCCCTATCTTAATAGGGATTATATTAGGGGTAGTACTAGAATCCCTATGAAGGACGGTTAGTATACGCGGGAACATCCCAAGCCATTGCTCTCAGTGCGCAGCCTGTGAGGAGACCCGTGAGGCTGCGGAGGCATACGACATCGCGTACCTTCTCCCATTCTTCGCTGGTCAGCTGCGTGCGGCCTTCCTGCAAAGTCTGGGCCTCAGATACCTGCTACCCACAAGGCCCTTCGCTCTAAGGGCCCAAACCCTAAACCCTAAACCCTAAACCACCCTAAACCCTAAACCCTAAGCCCTAAACCCTAAACAGAACTCTGCGAGGCAACTCCAAGGCAGCCTGGGGCCCTGCCTTGGGCGCGCTGATGTGCGGAGGCGCACTGGAGCTGTGACTTGGTGTGGAGAGGCTTGCCTTGTGGGCAGGGTTTAGGGTTTAGGGTTTAGGGTTTAGGGTTTAGGGTTTAGGGTTTAGGGTTTAGGGTTTAGGGTTCAGGGCGTAGGGTTTAGGGTTTAGGGTTTAGGGTTTAGGGTTTCAGAACATTCTCGCAATTATGGCTTCGCTGAGTCTTGTACTGTTACGGCCACCTGGCCAACCTGAAGCCACGAAACGCCGAATCCTGACACAACCTAGGGTGCCTTAAGAAACATAGAAGGTTTGGAGCACAACCGAATCCTGCAGAGTCCGCAGCAAAAAAAAACCTCCCAGGAGAAGCAAAGAAACTTGGGGAAAGCCCCTCGAGTTCGGCATGTGATGGAGCCAAGGCTGCTGTTGGGCCTCGCCTGCCCTGGCCTTAAAGGATGAAGAATTTAGGGTTTAGGGTTTAGGGTTTAGGGTTTAGGGTTTAGGGTTTAGGGTTTAGGATCATTGTTAAGGTGGCAGCAAGAGTTGTTAAGTTGACAGTATAGGGCCTAGGGCATAGGGCTGAAGAGATGCTGAAGAGTGGCTGTTCAAGTGTGGCTTGGGGACCTGGTGCAGCTCAACGCTTTTGGGATGTTTTGGGGCAACCCTAAACCCTAAACCCTAAACCCTAAGCCCTAAACCCGGGTGTCGACGGATCATTCGGAGCTTGTTGGTCCATCGCTTTTGGGAGGGTTCGGAGCCTGGGCCAGGGTGTGCCTGATCTCGTGCTCGGATTCCAATAGTGTAAGGACGCTAATAAGGAACCCCTGATTTCGGAAACATTTTGTTTAGAAGTCTACAGCCATTCCACCCTACTCACCTGGCTCACCCCAGCGCGGTCGTGCTGGCCTGTGTACTTAGGCTGCGACACACTTCTCCGTGCCTGCGCAATCGAGGCGCCAGCATGTTTCGGAGATTTTGGGAGCTTGGCATGACTCAGTCCTGCTTCAGGGTTTTCAAGTTGGGAAGTCAGGGTTCAGGTAGGGGTTTCCGAAACTCGGGGTACCTTATTGGGGTCGTTATTATAAGGGGATCCTACTACTTATTTACGCAAACCCCCATTTGGGCTCTCTTCAATCTTCGGCACCTTGGCCAACCTGCCAGTTGCGAATGTGGCGAGCAAGCCAACTCAAAAGGATCCGTGGCTACATCTCTTCTAGAAGTTGCGTTGGCCTGAGGCTTGTTTTTTTCAAGTCTCCGGTTGTGGTATGTTCTAGTTGGGGGATTCGGAAAGCATGCCCCTTTCTGCGAAAATGTGCAGTGCAACACACTCGCTAGCAAAATGCAGCAAAGCTGTGAAAGTTAAAACGTTCAAGGGTTGAGAGCTGCCGTGCTGGGCTTGTGCGTGATCTGAAGAGGGCGAGGGAAAACTAGCGAGATCTTTCTCCAGACGCACAATAGCGAACAAGTTTGCCGCGAGGAACGCAAAGGTACAGATTATCTGATAGGCTCAACGCCACAACTGCAAAGAGGCACTCAACCCCAAAGGATCGTTTTCTTCGGTAAGCGCTTTCGCCTACTGGGCCTACTGGCTTGTCATACCTTGAGCTAAATGGCTACGGTAGAGAAGGCACTGTCCATCGTCACGGTCATGGCCCACTCGTGGAACGTCAGCCTGGAGGAAGTGGAGAAGGCCTGGAAGTTGGAGCAGCTAGCAGGGTCTAGCTCAAGAACTCAAGCCACCACACTTGGGATGTTCCCCCTGATACTAACAGTCCTTACTCGGGATTATAGTACCCCCCCTATTACAAACCCTGGGAACATCCCAACACCACACCCTTTTAAGAAGGCCTCAGCAGCTGCCAAACAGAGCTGTTGACTTGGCTTGAGGATGAGGTAGAGAAGCGCGGTTTAAGGGTTTAGGGTCTAGGGTTTAACTCCCTGTGCAAAGGCTACAAGCTACGTGGGGGTTTACGACACTAAGGGGGTACCCTGTTGGGATCCTTTTGCTCAGGAGATCCTACCATTTGGGGACTCCATTATGGGCCCTTAGTTTCGTAAACCCCCACAGAAGCTACATAACTCGGGAGGCCTTTGGGACATTTTGTATTTGCCCTTACTGGGTTTAAGAGGATCCTATTCAGGAATATTTTTCAGAGGGTTTTAAGGGCCATCCTAGAGTAGCCCTAAACCCTAAACCCTAAACCCTAAACCCTAAACCCTAAATCCTAGACATGGCATCTGAACGTGGCATCTGAGCTGCAAATCCGCCCCCCCCAGAGGCATCGCGCGAGCGCTTGCCCTTCCGGGAGCTGCCGGAGCTTGTCGGCAGCTCTGCGGTTTAGGGTGTAGGGTTTAGGGTTTAGGGCTTAGGGTTGTTGTACCACTCATTGCCACCCTCACACATCATCGTCGTCGCTGTTGCCGCTGCAATGATGCAAGGGTGGCAGTACATGACAGTACTGAAGTTCCTGCAGCACACACACATACACAGAGCATGAGCGGAGCAGAAATCATACCTTCCTCTCCCAAACCTTTCTCCAGCCGTCCCTTGACCAAAGCCCGCCCGAACAATTCGGAACTGACCTAGGCTCGCCTTCTCTGCTATGTGAGGGATGCTATGGGCCCTCCCGAGAAGGCCAGTTCTTGCCGCGGTCGTGCTTAATCCAGAGCCAAAGCGGGGAAACTGCGATAGTTCTGGCCCAGGAATGACCCCTCCCCCTCACCACCCCTCCCCCTCACCACCCCTCCCCCTCACCACCCCTCCCCCTCACCACCCCTCCCCGCCCCTCACACCCTTCCCCGCCACCTCACAGGTCAGGAAGTTATCAGTTTTTTCATATCATGCCAGGTCTTCAAAACATTTCAAAACAAGACTCCGCCACCACATGCGAGGATGGTGTTCCGAGTCCGGTGCCCCGCCTTTGTGCTTCGTTCCTTGCGGCCTGCACGCCTGGAGCCCCGGTAGGATCAGAGCCTGGGCGAAGTGGACGGGTTTAGGGTTTAGGGTTTAGGGTTTAGGGTTTAGGGTTTAGGGTTTAGGGTTTAGGTGCTTCAGACGTTTGTACATTGTACATTGGGATGTTCCCCCATATACTAACAGCTCCTTAACAGGGGTTATTGTGCCCCCCCTACTCTAATCCCTTTAAGGACTGCTAGTATAAGGGGGAACATCCCAAATGGTACAGTGTACTTCGTTCGGTGAAGTGTGCTCCTTGGCTTCGGTATTGGTACAAGTAGCAGGAGCCGAAAACTCCCAGTCCGCTCCGCTTGAGGGTTTAGGGTTTAGGGTTTAGGGTTTAGGGTTTAGGGTTTAGGGTTTAGGGTTTAGGGTTTAGGGTTTAGGGTTTAGGGCTTTAGGCTAAGGTCTTAGGGTTTGTCAGGCCAATCCTCACTCAACCGCAGCACGTTCTGTACCGCACCTTGGCAAAGCCGGGGACCCAAGTCTGCACTCCCCTGCAGCCCACTCCTCTTCGAGTGCTTGAACTCCCCGGAATTCCGGAATTTCTGAAAAACGCCAGTCATGCATGAACTGAACGCGCGGTTGTGGGGCTTGGCTGTCCATTTTTCTGGAGAGGCTTTCGTTGATGCGTTGCAGGGCGTCGAGACTCACTTGGGGGTTTCCGAAAATACGGGTACCCGTTTTGAGGGGGGGGGGGGGGTCCCTTTAAGGGGATTCGATTCTAATTGGGGTATAAAAGGGGTACCCCTATTTTGGGAAATGCCCATGTGCAGGAGTAGTTGTCGGTTGTCCACATGGTCCCTAAACAAAGCTCATGCGCATGTTGCATGGGCTTGAAAAGGTTCTTGCTTGGGCGACCAGCTGCAGACTTTGAGGCAAGACCTGCTGAAGGCTGAGTTTGGAGAGTCAGGCTTGATGTTGCCTTCGGGGTGGTATGTCCCCACAGGAGCACGAGGTTGCAGGATGCGTTGTCGGATCGCAGCCAGAACAGAGACGTGCATGGCTTGAAAGGACATTCCCTTGTTCTCCAAGCTCATGTCCGTGACCCAGCTTCCATGTTATTTCTGGGGCTGTCAGTGCAGTCGCAGCCTGTTTATTTTGAAGGTAACGGGCATTTGCCTTCGCATGGATGTCCTTACGGCAACGTCGGAGTGGATCACACTCAGCTCTTGTCGCGGGTGGGTTTTGCAGCCTCTCGGCACAAGTGGCACCAGCGGCAGATCATCGCGCAACAACTTTTTTCGTGCCCCCAGACCCCCAACCCAGTCGTCTGGACAACTCGCCCCAGTTGACCGACAGCCCGCGTCATGAGCATCGGCCGATTCCCCCTCCCCCATCTCCGCACCACCCCATCACAGATGTCTGAACAACTCCCCCCAGTAGCCCTGGCGTGGAGCATCACGAGCATCAGCTGACACCTACCCCTGCGCCACCTGACCCAGTTGTCCGGACAACTCGCCCCGAGCATCATGAGCATCAGCCGAGTCCTTCCCCCCCCCCCCCCCCTGATGCAACAAGTAACCCAAGCTTAATGACCCCGACTGCACTTTTGGTCCAGAGGTTTCGGGCCTTGAAAAAGTAGCCGTTGGCAACAGGGGAGCATGGGCGGGGGGAAGGGGGGGCCGGATGGGGCCGGGCTATTGCGCTGGTAGTGGCGGGATTCGATCTAAAAAGAGAGTACACGATCAGCGGCGAAGCTGCTTGCAACACCGTGTCTTTGTACGTTGTCTGCCTGCCCGTTCAACCGGCCATCCGTTGCGCTGATGAGTTCTTCTCGCACGGCGGCGAATTCACCCCTGATGCTTGCCGAAGCCTACTGCTGCGACATGCTGTCCCACTGCTGTGACATGCTGTGACCAGATTGTTGCATGTCCGCGTGCATACTGTTGCGGTGAAGTTTGGCGACTAATCGCCTGGCAGTGCTCAAGTCTTTCGGCCCTGATGCGACTAGTGCGTACTAGTGCTGTCAACTCTTGGTTTGTTGTGTTCTTTCCTGGCTTGAGGTTTGTGGTACTGTACAGTTTGGGGTACTGCCCCCCTTGCTCAGTATGAGCGAACAGCAAGAGCTGTCAAATCCTTTGAGGAGCTTTCGCGTGCAGCTCGGTGCCAGGTTAGGGTTTTTGCTTAATATTTAGCGAAAGTTCGGCGCTTGTCGATCTGAAGCCCGGCCCCAGCTTCCCAAATAGAACATGTTGCAATTGTGATTTCATGAGTCCCCTGCCGATGCGTTACGCATGGAGAGCGATGGGCTATCCCACGGGCGCAAAAAATCTCTGACTTGATGACCGGTCTTCCGGTCTTCAGCCCAAGGCTTGCTCGCATTTGCTTCGCAACTGGCACACACACAGAGCACACCTGTCGGATGGTATAGGGCCGGTCGACTCATGTCGGCTTCGTGCGACAAGCTCTTGCAAGCTTTCGGTGGAGCTGTGGCCCCCGTGGCATGTCGCAGGCTGTCAGGGGATGTGGACAACAGCCAGGAGGCGCAACTTCGTGAGCATAGGAACACATCATGGGATCCACAACCATCCTTGTGAAGATAGGAGGGGTTCGGAGGGTTGGGAAAGGTGGGGGTACAAGCAAGACGTGGAGGGACTGAAAGAGGAGGGGGAGGAGGTCAGGGGACAAGGGTCGGTGGATGCCGTACATTCAGGCACGTCTTTGGTACCTCCGCGTCCTTCGACGTGGTTTGGCGGTCCAATCAGGCGCAGCATGGGAATGCTGGGCGTCGTTGCAAGGAATTTGCAGGGAGAGTCAACTTTGAGACTGCCTAGATTTGAACATGGACAATGACAACCATGTCCGTGACTCGAAGAACTACGGTGGACGGAATCAGACGAACATCTAGCTTCTATATACTGATGTCATAAGTTTTGTTGAGGAACGTCAGATTTCAGGTGGTGGCTTGAATACTTGACCTCACCCTTTGTGCAAAGGACTTCAGCTAGGCCGCACCAAGCATACAGACGAACTCGCCCAAGCCGTGACAAGGGACTTTCACTGCGGCCGACAAGCTGTCGAGGCAGGGTCGCCTGGACTGAGGGGTTGGGCCTGTTGGGCTCTGCAATTGGCAGGGACCGTTCGGGATCAGTCGGACAGTGATTGCAAGTAAGAGCATGAGGACGCTGATGGAGGCTGCGAAGGCTTGTGAAACAGTGCCAGGGTCGAGAGCTGTTTGCATTGCACTGCGTTGCTCATCTCGCTAGCATGCTTCCGGGATTCCTCCATCGCCCAGCACCATGCCGAGCCCAACCCAAGGCACGCCTTGGCAAGGCGCAATGCTCTGAGCGTGCCTCAGATGTTTGACGTTCGTCGGCCACGTTGTGCTATGTCTACCATGTCTTGCCGGTCAAGGGTCAATCAAGGGTTGTTGGACTGCGGGTTTCGGTTGGGCTCAGGGTTTAGGATTGTTGGACGGGTTCGGGGGTTGGGTCAGGTCAGGTTGGGTTAGGTTTCGGGTGTGGGGGGTTACTTTAGGTTGGGTCTTCAGATGCAGGTCAGGACTCGGGTTTTGGGATTTCCGGGCTCTGGCTTTTTCGATTCTCTTTTTGGACGTACCTGGACATGCATGGACTTGTTGTTTTCCGATTTGCTGTTTTGCGACTCCATCTGTTTTTTCCGACTCATGATTCGCCTGTCACCCGACCTACCAGAACAAACGTGCCATCGCCCAACACCAAGGATGTCCTGTGCACAGCCGCGAAATTGCATGAGCGCAAGGTGCGCTGCGACATGAAATCGAAACTTGCAGCCAACAATAGATTCTGCATACCGTGGGATGTTAGCTTATATGAACAGTCCTTATTAGGGATTAGAATAGGGGGTACTAGAATCCCTATGAAGGACTGTTAGTAAAAGGGGGAACATCCCAATGCCTACCCGAGCTGACACTGAGGCCCTGGATCATGAGCTTTGCTGGATCCAAAGAGCTGGGAAGCCTGCCAGTCTTCCTCGAGGCCGAAACACCCCGGGGTTTAGGGTTTAGGGTTTAGGGTTTAGGGTTTAGGGTTTAGGGTTAGAATCGAACTTGTACTGGGGTCTTGTATTCGGGTTGTATAGGCTCAGGTTGCCTTATCTCTTTCGGCGCAGCCTGTCTACCCTCCGACAGCTAGGAGCTGAAGCTGCCCGAAGCTGGCACCTCCGAGAGTTGAATCTGGTACTGTTCGGCTTAGCCCTAAACCCTAAACCCTAAAACCTAAACCCTAAACCCTAAAAGGCCTTGAAAGAGCTCGATCCTGCATGAGTTGAGAAGCCGGCTGAGAGCATGCTTCAGGCCGCTGGGTGCGTGGAAGCTGTACTGCAGGCGCCAGCCAATTTGACTGTAGGCATCTGAGCCGGCATCGGAAAGTTCCAACAGTAAATGGCTTCTAAGCTTGAGAGTGAGACATCGGTCACTTAGTTGGAAGGGTAGTCTTCCAATTCATATGCCGCATGCCAGATGTCCTATATAAGATGAGCACACGTGAAAATAGGTCCGTACGTCTTGAAAAATCGGCCAGGCGCCCGTTATCTCGGCCGAAGGGGCGGCGCTCAACCTTTCGGCACTACGCTTGGGTCATGCCTGGACAAATTTAGGGCAATGTTTGGAAAGTAGTAACTCGTGACATCTTGTGACTCAATTCTTAGCATTTTCACAGAGGTGAAAAGGTAGCTGCGGGTCGGTCGAAAGATGTCTGCCGCCGAGGTTGCAGAGTGGGCTGCTGGCCAGGAGAGCTGAAGCAACCAAGGGCTAAGTCCACAAAGCTTGCACCATGATGAAGCCCTAGACCCTGCCCTAAACCCTAAACCCTAAACCCTAAGCCCTAAGCCCTAATCTGTGAACTCAGACGAGGAGATGACAGAACGGTCCTAGATCATCCCAAGTCCACATTATGGGGTTGTAAAGACTAATTTATGCGTGGTTTGTGGTTTCGGGAGGAAGGCCCACGAGGAGTGTTGAGCTTGCTGGATGGGTGCGCACCGTGGATGTAAATCCCCATGGATTTCTGTGCCACCTCTGTGTTTCCGACTGGACTCCGTGCGCTCAGGAACAAGGCAGGAGCAAAAACAGGAACAGGAACGGAACAGGACAGGAACAGGAACAGGAACCGACACTCACGAGATACCCCTGAGCAACCATGAGCCACAAGACAACAATAAAGATGCAAAAAGAAACAAAGCAACAAAAGCCGCGTCGCCGACGTCGGAGGCAGCACGGGCGCCGCTGGGCAGCCGAAACCACGCCCAGCAGGCCGAGAGTCGACGTGTCAAAAGTGTACATGCAAGCAAGTGTGAGATCTAAGGAGTTTAGGGGCTAGGGGGTTTAGGGTTTAGGGCTTAGGGTTTAGGGTTTAGGGTTTTTAGGGCTTAGGGTTTAGGGTATAGGGTGGTGCTAAGCAGTGTGGAACCGTGACAGTGTGAATGGTTGATGGGGGTGGCGTGCTCTTGCAAGAATGCAGTTGAAGGTTCAGAAACCCCTCCTGAGACCGCCTTTGCTGCCCTGAAGCCCGGGTTGGTCCATAGGCCCGAGACTCCCACCAGTAAAACATCTGGTACTTCTGGCAACAATTTCGAGTAACAGTTTGGCAAGTAGTAGACAGTAGACTTTCGGGAATGGCCATCCTAAACTATTGGGTAGATGGCTTGTCCGTTACCCAGTCTCCGGGGAACTGAATACGAGAGCGCTGGGCCTGGTGTTTCAGGAAGGTGTTCGGGCAAAGGCCCATGGTCTGAAAGCCCTTGGGATCAGAAAGGTTGAGGCTTCGGATGTACAGCGATGCTGTTGGAAAGACGAAGGTTCTGCGCGCCACAGGCCGCATTGCGTCCGCCTGAGAGCGAGTGTATGTGGCCGATTCCGCGTGGTTCCAGACTTCAGACACGTGCCAGTCACACGCGAAGAAATGCGAAGCCGAGCCTCTGTCAGTGACTCTTGAGACTACAGTCAGCTTGTAGAGTCTTAGAGAGAGAGAGAGAGAGAGAGAGAGAGAGGAAAAGCCAAACAGAGAACAAACAAAACCCAGGTCACGGCGCTGCTTCGAATGTCAGGCGCCTGCGCTGTGCGCAACTTCTGAGTCTTTGTTGTGTGTGATCCTTCGAGAGCGCCTTCAGTCCCGGGAATCCCAACCATTCATGGGAGGGGGTCCAGGAGTCTTCAGAAGAGTACTGGCATGCGCTGGCTTATGGTTCGGCAGTTGGTCTTCTGTTGGTCGTGTGAGCGTGCGGAACTCTTTTCGGTCTGTTAACGCCAGTCCCACAAGGATACCAGTGTAAGGGCCGGGTTATATGAAGAGGCACAGGCGAAATGCTGACTCGGGTTCTCGCACTTGTCGCACTTAGTCGAAGAAAGAATTAATCGTGTCTCGGTGCAACATTCTCCAAGAGCACATATGATGCTGTTAACGGTGGAAGCGGGTGGACAATGGATGAAGTGTTTTGACGACTTCAATGCACCCCTACAAACTGCATCAGAAGCCAGCATGTGGCTGTGGCACCACACAGGGAGGGCAAGCTGCGGAAATCTTCAGAGGAAGGGAATGGGGTCTTGCTGCACACCAGAGTTCTGGAGACGCATCGCGGTGAGAAGGCATATGGAGCCTTTGCGAGCGAGTGCTCATGTAATGCCGGCATCCACACCAAATAAAAGGCTCAATGATAATTTACGAGGTATAGCACTGAATGAAGTTGACCGCAACTGGTTGTGGCAGGCGATGATCCCGCGCAAAGCCGCGTTGTCACCACAAGCTGCACGCAGCTCTTGGCAATAGGCAGGTTGGGGGTGGGGTCGCGTCGAGATCCTGGTCGGAGATGACCAGAGAAGCTGTGTGAGCAGACCCGAGCAACTTAAGCTAAAAGTAGAGGATGCAAGTTCGATCATGTTGATCTTCGACACCTCTGAAGCTGGGTTTTCCCGCCAGGCCGGGCCATCCACAGCTGTGTTGCGACCTCAGTGCTTTCTCAGGCACTCCTCCTCCCCGTCTCGGGGGTTATAAAGATGGCAAAATATGGAAAGTTTCGGGTAGAGAATTGATGGAAACGTCTCCGGCTTTGAGGCCACGGCCTGGGCTCGACTGCAGGCGTGCAGGCCTTGGATGCTGCCGGGTTTAGGGTTTAGGGTCTAGGGCTTAGGGCTTGGGGCTTGGGGCTTAGGGCTTAGGGTTTAGGGTTTAGGGTTTGGGGCTATTCTTATTATTCTTATTCTTCTTATTATTCTTATTATTCTTATTCTTCTTATTCTTCTTATTATTCTTACTATTCTTATTATTCTTATTATTCTTATTATTCTTATTATTCTTATTATTATGATTATTATGATTGTTGTTATTATTTTGTTTCTGTTTACATTCTTCCTCTTACTCTTTATTACATTAGGACTAAGGCTTCGATTGCTGCAGCATTGCTCCTGCAGGGCTCGCATCGCGAACCCAAGTGGCCCGAGTAGCGTGCCGAGGCTTTCTGCCGAGGGTGCTGGCGAGGAGGAGGTTCTGGTCTCTGCATTTGAGGGTCTAAGGATGGGAGGGGATCTAGGATTCAGGGCTTCGGGTTTAGGGTTTAGGGTTTAGGGATTAGGGTTTAGGGTTCGAGTTTAGAGAGGCCTTAGGAAGGAGTCGCAGTACATGTTACATGGCCCCGTGACATTTCCTGAGCGAGCGAGTTGACGGGTGCTTGAACTTCACTCCTGCGGAAGGCATGTGAATTCACTGAGCAGACCTCGAAACCCGATGAAACTATCAATCGAGGATTCGGAAAACAGTCACGAAACGAGGTCTAAAAGTTCAGAAGTGACGAACCCCCACTTCCAAAAAGTGCCCAAAATCACATGATGACTCCGTCTTCAGGAGACTGTCAACCATGCTGGGTAGCAACTAATGCGATTCAACCACTATCCTCTCCCTCATCCGCGCCCTCTCTCTGAATGCCTTGAAGCATTTGTCCGGATGTCGGTGTGCACGCGAAACAGAGCACATGAGCGGCCATTGGAAGTGGTAGCACATCACCCTAAACCCTAAACCCTAAACCCTAAGCCCTAAACCCTAAACCGTTACTGGCTCACCGTCTCATCCATATGAAGCTTCCTCGCACCTCTTTGTGGGCTTTCGCAATGCGAACTGTTGAGGTGCCTGTCGAAGCTCCGAGGCATCCCCCGTGGGTGTCGGGTTTAGGGTTTAGGGTTTAGGGTTGAGGGTTTAGGGTTAATGGTTTAGGGTTTAGGGCTGTTCGTTCAAAGTTAGTTGAGAGGTCGCTTGGGGTCAAATTGAGGCTGATGGTTGGATGCTCTCTGACTGCTAGACCCTGCGCTCCAGCTGAGCATCACGCACACACCCGTTTGAAAGAGCATACTTTCATACCACGGCTGAGGAAGTGCTTACCTTGAGCCTCCACCACAGAGTCAGAGAGCACTCGCACTGGTCGCACTTGACTCTTGCACTCCTTTCCCCTAAGCCCTAAACCCTAAACCCAAACCCTAAGCCCTAGACCCTAAACCCTACACTCCTTTGTGTTTTTCTGAAGAGGCAGCAAGTTCCGGTGGCAAAGCTGTGGGTTGGGTCCCTGGCTTGCTGGGAAGATCAATCGAAGATGCCACGAGGGTTTAGGGTTTAGGGTTTAGGGTTTAGGGTTTAGGGTCGAGCTGTTGGGATCCGATTGATGTGGCTCCGCTTGACTTGCAAAAAAGGGATCCAGGACCTCAGAATGGAAGACCACCACACGGACACGCATGCGAGCGACACGGCCCAGGGGTAGACCGACCCTAAACCCTAAACCCTAAACCCTAAACAACCCTAAACCCGTGACACGTTTACGCGGGTTTGGGGAAGGTGGCCCTATAATCTCCCCTCCCAGACCGCTGCACAGAATTATGGGTGGGGGCATGTAAAACAGGTTGAACAAGCACGTACGCGCATGCGCACGTGCTTGGGCTTAAATTATAATAGGAACCCTAATCTGATTTAAGGCATATTCCTGAGTTTCTGGGTGGATCCCCTGTCTCACGGATCAAATCACAAGCCCCTCGCAAGGATTGCACCCCTCTGCATACAAGTCATGATCGCCGGGGCCGTTGTTCAGAGACGGGGCTTTGGACATCTCAGGAGCAGGCATGTCTTCTGGCCCGCCTGTCAGAGGCGAAGCACAAGGCTCGAACAGAAGCGCTTTCTGCACAGAGCCCTTTCTGCAGTCGCTGCATATTCAAGCTATAAAGCAACAACCCTTAAGGCAGAGCTCGAAACCCTTTTTTTGCCTCAATCTCGTAAACATATCGCAACCTTCACAGGCAATGGCTGCTGAGAGAGATGCAATCGGCACCGCTGCTTACGAGTCGAAGGCTGGAGCCGCTTCCTTTGTGTTTTTTCTCCGCATCTTCGAACTCTCTGCTCTCTTCTGTGCTTTCTCATTGCTGTGCGGAGGACTTTTTTGTTTTTAATGTGTCTGTTTTTTCAGTACTCACTGACAAGTTAGATGAGCTATGAGTGGTGGGCGATTCCTGTGTTGTATAGAGCTTGCAGACAATTTCATTGCAACAATTGGTTGCGGCTGATTCAGCTGCAGGAAAAATGCGGCTGGACTATTATTTTCCTGAGCTGGCGTGCGAGTTTTCAGTTATGACGCGTGCAGAACTGTGGTTTGATGTGTTTCTCGGCATCTCACAAGGCTAAGCCAGCAGACTGCGAGTTGTGCCAGGCAATAACCAATATCATGCCGCTCTTTGTGGTTCTTTCATGAACACTAGGAGACTTAAAGGGACGTCAGGCCCTTTCCTTGAAGTGCAACGGGGCATCACCCTACAAAGCCTGCTCTGCTGGTGCTGCACAAGTCCTGACCGGTTCCATAGGATCCCTTTATAATTGAAGCTATGTTCCTTAATTCAGGAATACAGTCCTTAAATCATAATAAGGATCCCTTTGTGATTTTAAGCTATCTTCCTGAATTAAGGGGTATTGGGCTCTCTGGGAAGTCCTCTAGAGCACGCGCAAGGCCAAGCGTCCACGCATGGCCGAAGAGAATACCCTTGCGGCCCAGCCTGGGGCCAAGTGCCCGTGAAACTGTATCAAAGTGTGCTGCGGAGGATTGAACAAAGGAACTGAGAGGATGGTTTCGGAGGGCATGGTAAGAATCCCATAGCCGACTCAAAAGATCTCAAAGCAACATCAGCACTATTTTACAAGACTACTGGCGTCAGGGTTGCGGTGATGCCGCTGGGTTGCAGCTTTGTGTGGCCTAGGCTACTACAGGTTGCAGGTCCTTCATGATAGCGTGTACAGCTCCGTCCCACATAGTGCGCGGACCATGAGTGGGGCTGTGTCAATCCACTACCTGTGCATCGTGATGCCGTCTGCTCCGCGTGTTCTTCCTGCGCAGAGGAGACATCAATCCACTAGTATTTATGTGGCGTATGCTGACAAGCTACTTTCACACCTGCCTACGAAGCAGCTAGCTGCAACGTAGGTTCTCAAAACCGAGGTGATGAGTATCTTGAAAATTTATTGCCACGTAGGTTCTCCCTCCCAAAACCGAGGTTATGAGTATCTTGAAAATGTATTCATCAGATGTCCCGCAGCGTACACGGCCTATCCATTTCGATTTCTCGCTGCTCCTTCACGTTCTGACTTGATGGGGTGCGAGGGATGCTGAGTGTTAGGGTTTAGGGTTTAGGGTTTGGGGTTTGGGGTTTAGGGTTTAGGGTTTAGGGTTTGGGGTTTAGGGTTTAGGGTTTGGGGTTTGGGGTTTAGGGTTTAGGTTGAGGGAGATCCTGGCTTTATAGAAGATCGGATGGGCCTGTAGATATCCATGTCGCCTCAGCTGCAGCGACCTTTCTGAGGCCGCCAGCCCTATATTTCCCTTCTAAGGAAGACTGTTTTTGGAAACATTTTTTTGGGGGGGGGGGTTGTAGCTTAGAATGGTCAAAGGGTGAGGCACTGACAGCTTAAGTCGAAGCGGGTTCAGGCTGGGATGTTCCATTATAATCCCGATTAAGGACTAACCCTAAACCCTAAACCCTAAACCCTGTTAGTATAAGGGCGATCATGTTGAGGTTCCGGTTGGGTTCAGGTTGGACTCCATCCTCCGAGTTCTGGCGCAACTCCATAAGGGGCCGGCTGGGGTCAAGGCCCGGGAATGCTCGGGAATTCAGCGCGAGATAAAAATGTGGGGGTTTATGATTTTAGGGGGTGCCTTGTTGGGGTCCTTCTTATACGGGGATCCTATCATGTTTTGGGTGTAAACCCAAATGGGTTCTCAAAATGTCATGTAGATACCATGTAGATACAAGAGCGGGGAGCTTTGAGGGGTTTTGCTTTCGCAAAGTCCGATATGGGGTGCAACTGGGCTTGGAGGGCTTCAGGGTGGTACTGATCAAGCTCGAAGCCCAAAAACATTCCGGTTCGTGTGTTGGGCAAGTCTTCGCCACGTCAAGAATTGAAAGCAATTTGCTCTATGCTGCGACAGGAGTCCTAAGGAGACAGCACCACGGAGTCAACAGCTAATCGGAAGGAACGCACAGAAATGCACTGAGTTCATATCTCATCTTTCATGGAGGCCAAGTCGCATCAAATCGCGCTTGTGCCTAGTGGAACAGGGCGGATTTAATCTTCTGCGCCCGCGCAGGTGATGAAAGAAGCGTTTGCTGTATCTCGAATGGAGTCTCAGGCCTTTGGAAATTGCATCCTGTGCACGCGCCCCCCCCCCCCCCAGCTGCTGAAGGTGCGGACAATAAGATTTTTGCAAAACCTTTCGCAAAATCCTGCAATTTGTGTTTTTTGTAAAAAATCTTACGCTCATGCCCCGCTGTTCCCGAAATGATTCGTGTTCTTGTAGGTGAATGGTGACTAGAAGTTGACTAGCAGGCGGACCCATGGCCAAAACTCCCACTAGGACGCAAAGCGTTCCTTAATGCTTTAAGAGAGCTGAAGGCGGGGGCGCCGTCTGCTGCCGAGTCACTTCTAGCAGCTGGGAACTGAGGGCTGCATGGTTTCGAGCATTTGGCGTGAAGGGTATCTGGAGCGCTTTGGGGCCCGTGTTATTTCGGAGCCAAACTTCGGAGCCTTGAGAGCAGTCTTCTTTTAGCTTGGCATGTGCGAGAGAAAGAGAAGGAGAAGGAGAAAGAGAAAGAGCAAGAGAGAGATTTTTCTCTCTCGTCTCACCAACTCAACGCAGGCCTTCGGCCACATTCGGGTTGTCAAGTGCGCAGAAAGGACGGAAGGAAAGAAGGAAGAGTTTGGGTCAAGCTATAATTTTGGCTCAAGCCACGAGCGGCTCGAGCCCGACCTTTTGTGCAGGAGACACCTTCGAAAAAGAGAGCGATAGGGGGAAACCACCTGATCTATACGTGCACGTGTCTATTCCTCGCTGTGATATAATGCCGACTACATTCTTGCAATCCTACGCGACTCCGCGCCCTTGTTTGAGAAGGGGGAACGGTCGAGTGCCCTCCGGCTGGTGGCGTGCGGGGAACACTGCGTACAACTTTGTGACAGGCATCGGCAGAAGCCGGCATCCAGAAAGCACTGGAGAGAGACAAAGAGCAGAGGAGGAGCCACCTAAACACAGCGGCGCTGCGCAGGGGCTCATGGGGCAATGTGACAGACGGAGATCGACAGACTGAGACCGGGGGGTCACAGGAGTGCTAAAACATGCAAAAACACGAGATTAGAGTCCGGCGACCAGTGCGCGATGGGACATAGCCATAGCATTGTCTGCTGCATTTTCGTGCGGCACAAGAAAAATAGTTGCACAAAGCTCGCTGCCCAACTAAACCCTAAACCCATCCTAAACCCTAAACCCTAAACCCTAAACAGTGCATCCAGGTGTCATTGCCGCGCAGTTCCGCGCCAATGCTGGTAAACATCAGCCTGGCGTTCCTGCAGGCAGCCCGTCGCAGAGGGTGGTTAACCACTAGGTTTAGGGTTTAAGGTTTAGGGTTTAGGGTTTTAGGGGGGTCTTCAAGATATTATCGGAAGGCATTGGAAAATTTAGCTGGGCTGTGTCGGCTGTGTGTCTGTTCCCGAAGCCAGAGATGAAAGAGTGGGTGACATCGATGCTTAAGCCCTCTACAGCCTCCGGCCACCCCTAAACCCCTAAACCCCTTAACCCCTTGAAGTTCGAGGCTCTGAAGCCGTGAAGCCTGTAGCTTCCATGACGGGTCGGCTCGGGGATCTGTCGCCAACGACAGCTAGGCTTGCCCAATGCTAGCAGAATGGGTCTACGACATGGGCACCATGATTCTGGCACATGTCAACTTAGCATTGTCTGCGACGGCAGCGTAGCCTAAACAAAGGACATTTGCACGCCTGAGAGGCTACACGTGTACCAATTTTTACTAGGGAGAGTCATGGTGCGAACTCGAACTGGGCAGAGCAGAGCCCGGCGCCAACAACGTGTCGAATCGCTGATTGTGGAGAGCAGGTGGCAGCCGTATACACTCCCAAAGGACCGTCCAAGCCTTCTGGGGGTTGGCAGAGGACATGCAGGAACGAGGGAAGGCGGAAACACCGCAAACACATTCATGTTGTTGGTGCTTTCTGTTTGCTGGACACAAGCCTCAGGCACGATGATTCTCACAACTTCGCCTTTTGAGGGTGAGAAATGTGAGCATCATCGATGCACAAGTGTCTATGATGCGTCGATGCTCACTTGCTAAGTAGGATGTTCGGTGCGGAATCCCATGAAGGGACCCCTAATATACACCCCCAAATCGTAGGAGGGCCCCCTTATAATACGGACCCCAATAAGGTACCCCTATACCCTAAACCTAAACCCTAAACCCTAAACCCTAAACCCTAAACCCTAAACCCTAAACCCTAAACCCTAAACCCTAAACCCTAAACCCTCATGTTTGTTCTAATGTCGTAAACCCCCCATTGAATGAAGCTCAGCCAGGCAGCTCCTCTGAGCCCTTTGGTCCACGAGTATTTCGGGCAGGTTGTCCGCCATCTGCTGGTCCGAGCCTCGTGGGTTTTAGGGTTTAGGGTTTGGGGTTTAGGGTTTAGGGTTTAAATTTAGGGTTTAGGGTTTGGGGTTTAGGGTTTAGGGTTTGGGGTTTGGGGTTTAGGGTTTAGGGTTTAAACTTAGGGTTGAGCACAATTTTCTGAGAATGTTCTGCAAATCTCCACAAGGCGTGTAGAGACAGGGTTGCTGTTATCCCCTTGGGCCCTTTGCCTGCTGGATTGGGTTTGCGGGTCGTTTAAGATCATGTGCAATCGATCCCCCATTGGTTTGCAGTGCTGGGGTGCTACCGATGGGAAACAGCGAGTGAGTTGGGTTGGCCCTTCGGGCTTCGGGTATGGTTTTGGCCCCAGCAGGCCTGCTCTGTTAAGTATGCCTTGTGTGTGAAGCGCTTCCTGAGTCTAAAGTCACACATTCCCCACGATGGTCACTTCCTCAGCAAACAGTAGGCTCCCATAGCCATCCATAGCCCCCACAGCCCCAGCATAGCCCAGCCAGCAGCTTGTCATGCATTGAGGCTTGCATGGTCTTAGAAGCTTCAGATGCCAGAACTTCAACGGGAACGTGATCGGGCCTGATCAGGATTGCTGCAATAAAAGCATCACCTTTACACAGAACCAATCAGCCGAAACATGACACCCAGCAGTTCTGCTTCGGGGTTAGGGTTTAGGTTTTGACTTGTCTGGCTTCTCCAGGTACAGAAGGACGGCGACGGCCGATCGCATCTCCAGTTCGAGGAGGAGGCTCGTGTCAGCGAAGACGAGACTCAACATGGCCAATGGTAGCTTGCTCCAAATCTATACAGTTTCTTCAGATTCCAGAGCTTTGATTAAGGAATACGGCTTAAACTACACAGGGATCCTTGTTATGGTTTAAGGAATAGTCCTTTCATTAAGGTGTATTGGGCTCTTTGGGCATGCTAAGAAGCCTTGATGAGAGGCAGTCCTCTCGGTTTTTCACGTTCTTACGGCCATGACCAACAAGGCGCGTCTCTGCTCAAGGTAAGACCTCCTCAGGACATCGTAGTCCTTCCATTGCCTTCCACACCCTTTGGGCGAGTTGCTAACGGTTAGCTGCTAACGTTGAGATGGAAGTCCTGAAACGTTTGCCATGGACTGTGAACGGACTCACTCGGCATGAGATGTGGACACATGCGACGCCGCAACCCCACCGTGTGTGAGTACCCTTTACCCATCAGGACTTGGCCCTCTCCAGTGAGGCCAAAGGCAGCTCAATCCCCAGAGATGTTTGAACGTGGCATGAAGTGGGGGGGGGGGGCATTGATTACATTTGTTTATGGGCCGGTTGGCTTTGTTTTGCTAAAGGCCAATGCAGTCAGGACATATGTCAAGTTGTGATTGTGAGATTGTCAGGGAGAGTGATTGGTTGTGCTGCTCAGTACAATAATAGTGATAATAACAAAACAGTAAAAATCATCATGATAATCACAATAATAATGCTAGCACTGAGTGACAGGGGTGTCCTCTGGAATTTCGCATGGTAAAGGATCTTCGGCTCGCTGCGATTGGAAGTGAACTCAAACTGTTTCCACCACCTGCAGACCCACATAGTGCGGTAGAAGAGTTTAGGGTTTAGGTTTTAGGGTTTAGGGTTCGAGCTGTAGGATGAGGCTGCTCTTCTTCGTTGGGTGAACAGCGAACTCTAGCAAGGCGCGCCCGTGATCATCCCAGGTCTCCGGAGATTTGCTTACACATTATTATTCTTGCCGCATCGCGACTCGGCCGCAGCAAGTTACTCTGCAAATCTCAGCAAACATCTTGACCCGACGTTCCGAGATTGCTTTCATGTAGACACACTACCTTGCAGAGGCCATGCAAGCGATATTCCACAATGTATGTGTGGTGCTTGCAAGGTTCACAGCTCGCGTGGCGATTTCGCTTATTGGCAAATGCCATCCTGTCGGGCACAGAGTTCAAAACATGTCACGGTCTTGCGGGCATTGTGAATCCAGCGTGCTTGCTGTGCGATGAAATATTCCGTGAGCCCCATGTGAGGCAAACATTGGCCGAAATACACACAGCACCACCAGGCACTGCTCCCCCCTCCGTGCTGAAAAGGCACCCATGAGGCCACCTAATGATGTTGGGGAGGCATGGAAGGCCTCCCGAGGGAAGCTGCGGCCGCCGATGTTTGGGCGCGCTTCCCTTTCGCACAATCATTGGCCGTGGGGCTCGGATGAGTGCCCGTGACCCTTGAGCAACGTGCTTCAAGGTCTCAGCGTATGACAGGGGAGCTATGCAGAGTGTCAATCTAGAGTGCATCCGCAAGGGCGGGGTGCGGGGGCGTGCGGGGGGGTCCCTTTCATGACAAAGACACGCGGGGGGGGGGGGGGGGGGGGGGGGGGGGCCGAAAACATTGTGACGCACTGCAAATCGATTTGCTTCCTGCGCTAGCTAGGAATGATCGAGCATTCGGGCAGCTTGTTGAGTATTGAACTGGCCAATTGCTTAGGGTTCCCTGATTGGCTTCACATTGGTGCGAACTTTCTGTCGCCCAGCGTAGCCCGGACAGCCTTTGAATGTCGTTGCATTGACACGTGAGCTGAACCCTAAACCCTAAACCCTAAACCCTAAACCCTAAACCCTAAACCCTAAACCCCAGACACGCCTAGTACTTGTAGGTGGGAGTCATTGTAGGCGCACGCGCGTCCCCGTTGAGGTTAGTGCTCCAACCGACAGACGACAAGCTGAAGAGGCCTGCTTTGAGGCATCATAAGGCATGGAGGCTTCAAAGGGTTCAGGGTTCAGGGTTTAAGGTTTAGGGTTTAGGGTTTAGGGTTTAGGGTTTAGGGGATTTTGAGCATCAAGTGGAGAGCTTCAGGGGGCTTTGAGGATGCTTCAGGGAACGAGCTGGAGAGGATGGGTTTAGGGTTTAGGGTTTGGGGTTTAGGGTTTAGGGTTTCTGGGTTTAGGGTATAGGGTTTACCCACAATGCCCTCAAGGCGCAGTGCCAACTATGTTGCCAAGGCTCCTGGAACAGCTCCCTCCTCCTGAGGCGGCTCTCACACAAGGCCTCATCCAAAGGGCTTTCAATTGAGATAACAGCGTTTTTCTGTGCATGTGCGCGGGTGTTGCCGGGGGTGCCGGGCCTGGGATTTTCGAGTTTGGGATGTTCCCACAGTTGATCATGGCTCGCAGGTTGTTTCGAGTATTATTAGTAGTGTGGTGACGATTCTGTAATTGTTAAGAATACTCTTGCTTTTTTCTTGTTTCGACTTATTCGCGCTAAGATTGCTTTGTTTCCATTGTTTCTACCCTGAATATTCATCTTTCTATCATGGCCATCATGACCTTTCGGAATTTTGTTCTTACTATTCATTTTCTGTCCTAATGCACCGTCCGCTCGCGGACCCTTGTCGCCTTGGGGCGTACCCATTCCAGGCAACAAAAAGTCGAAAGGTGGGGTGCTTTATTATGTTTATGCCACCCATACACCTACGGCCCGAGACCTGGGCGCATTACTGCTTTTCTTACTATGGTAATTTCGTTTCACGATTATTTAAAAAGTAGTACTATTATAGCTATTGTTTTCTATTTTGCCAGTACGACTGTCATCACCTGTAGCTTGATGGTAAGAACTACCTTATTACACCTGTACAAACATGCATCTGCCCGTCGGAAGTCAAACTCCAGCACCTCGCCGGCCTAAACCCTAACCCCTAAACCCCTAAACCCTACACCCTAAGCCCTAAGCCCTAAACCCTAAACCCTAAACCCTAAACCCTAAACCCTTTCGTTGGCCTTCTCTGCAGTTTCAGACCAGGAGCTGCTGACTGGGAGCCGCTCCTCGAAGACTTGCTGCTTGTCGTGAAACACATGGGGGGGGGGGGGGTTCCGAAGTTAGGGGTACTTTATTGGGGGTTCCGAAGTTAGGGGTACTTTATTGGGGTCCTGATTATAAGGGAATCTACCATTTGGGGTTTAGGGTTTAGGGCCCCCTATTTTCGAAGTTAGGGGTACTTTATTGGGGTCCTTATTATAGGGTTTAGGGCCCCCTATTTTCGCAAGCCCCTCCCACAATAAACACCTGTCAAGGGCTGCAGGATGAGATCTGGGCCGGTCCCAGCAGTGTTTTGGACGAGTTACATCGGTGCAACCTGAGCTCACCTAAACCCTAAACCCTAAACCCTAAACCCTAAACCCTAAACCCTAAACCCTAAACCCTAAAGTCCTGCTGAGGGCTCGCTACCACCACGTGAGAGCCCGAAGCCGTCCGAGCGCTCAGCGAGCGACTTGACCACACGCCACGTGCAGCCCAGGTAAAGCTGGGGCTGCTGAACGCCCTACAAAGATGAGCACACAGCCGTGCGCACCAGGCGGTCGAGCCTTTGAGTGTCAAAGGTTCAAACCCTAAACCCAAGCACCCCTTGCCGGCGCCACTGGCCCCCCCCCCCCCCTCCCAGGGCACCCTCCAAGCCCCAGCCTCCCGCCCCCACCCTGCCCACTGCTGCCGACCCTCTCCAGGCCCCAGCCTCCCTTTCCCCGTGAGTGCAACCTTCAATTGCAACTGAGGGCTCGCTACCACCACGTGACAGCATGAAGCCATCCGATCAAGCGACCTCACCACACCACGTGCAGCCCAGGTAATTGGGGCTGCTGAACACCGGCGGTCGAGCCTTTGAGTGTCTCCAACCTGCACTTGCACTACGCCCGCCCGCTGAAGCCGGGCTCGGGCAGGTGAGGCCACTGAGCCCGGAGTTTGCTGGGGCAGCTCAGCCGCTGAGCCCGCTGAGGCTGCTGAGTGCTGCCGCTCCGGCCGGTCAGGTCAGTGAGCTGCTCACCGCTCCAGCCCGCTGAAACCGCCCTCTGCCGCCAGCTTGCTGAGCCCACACATGCGCACAAACCGCCCTGAAGCCGCTGAGTCCGCGGAGTGCTGTGCGGACTCAGAAGAGAAGGACTGTCTTGCTGTGCCATAACACCTGTTGCCTCTGGAGCCTTTCGGTTGTGCTTGGGCAGCTCATAGAGCACGGTGCCACAATCCTGGCATGTCATGCGGGACACGGTTTTCGTGGCTCCTCTCCGACCAAAATGAGGGTCTCGGGGTTGGCTGGTCTTGGCCGGTCACCTGGCAAAGAGGCGCTCCGCTGGGTTTTGGGGGCTTTTTGCCGCCCTGTCACAAAAGGGTTGTCAGCCGGGTCCACCGAGATGAACTTGAGGACTTGGCCACGCCCCTGCACCCGTCCCGGAAAGCCAATTTAACTCCCGGAGGTGAAGCCAGCTATAGGGAGGGCTTGCGCCAGGTTTGGCAGCCCTTTTTTTTCCCTCAGGTCGGCTCTCAACCGGCCGAAACCGAGCTGAGGGTCAAGCCCGAACTGAACGAGGGCTTCAAGACAGCCGCACGGCTACAGTGGAACAGGCCCACTGCGGAGCACCAACCAGACTCTGGGGCCGAAACCCGAAAATACAATACGCCGGGTGGTTTGGGGTGGGTGTACCGCCACGCGACGCGCACGTGGGAGTGGGCTCGTGACACCCATTCTAGAGGGCCCACGACGCGCGCTAAGAACGTTGCCACACCCTAACCCTTAACCCTAAACCCTAAACCCTAAACCATGGAGCTCAGGTTGCGGCAACAGCTCTTTGCTGACGGCGACGCAAGCCCCCACAATCCAGAGAAGAAGCGCAGGACGAAAAGGAAAGGATGCCGGGGGGGGCGCATCTCCAGTGCACCTCGTAAGTGCAAGCTACGCTCTGTAGATTGTCATTATTGTTATTATTCTTGCTATTATGCTTGTTATTATTCTTGTTATTATTCTTGTTATTATTCTTGTTATTATTCTTGTTATTATTCTTGTTATTATTCTTGTTATTATTCTTGTTATTATGATAATCATAAGAGTAATTGTTATTATTCCCCACCTTCGGTGCGGGGTTGTTCGATTTTAAACTCAACTCTTCTCCTCGCCCGGAACTCTTCTCCTCGCCCGGTCTACTCCTAGAGACTCCCTGGAGTGCCCAACCCCAGAAACTCCCTGGAGTGCCCAAAACTCAGAGACTGCCTGTAGTGCCCAACCCAGAGACTCCCTGGAGTGCCCAACCCCAGAGACTCCCTGGAGTGCCCCACAAATCCAGATCCCTAAGGTGGGGATGTTCGAAGTAAATAGTAACAATAATAATAATAGTTATTATTAGTACTGCGCGCTTTTGTCTGGAAGGCCATCAAAGACCCTTCTGCCAGGCATTGGCGCCAGTTGTGATTGGAGCTTGAGGGTAGGGATGATGCTTGCAAGCCGTTTCGGCATCGCAGCATACATTTGAGCTCCGTGTGGTCGGCAAGCCCACCGCGCCAGTGCCGATGTCGCCTTGGTAGTGCAGTGCTTGGCTGATGTCTGCGTGATTCTGGGGGCGACTCTGGTACAGATGGAGGTGTCTGCGTTTGAAGACTGGATTTCTGGGTTGCAGTGCTTTTGCGAAGCTTGGTTTCCCGAGGATGCTCAGCAAGGCCAGTCCATCCCAGGCTGGTGTGGCAAGCAACATCACCGCCGAAACACAGATGAGCCAGTATGCTTACGAAGAAAGGAACTAAGACAACCTAAGCCCTAAACTACCCTAAGCCCTAAACCCTAAACCCTAAACCCTAAACCCTAAACCCTAATTTTCAAGCCTGGTGCTGAGCCCTCGAGGCTTCTGGTTCGGAGCACGGAAAGCCTCCTACCGGCCGCTCTTTGACAAGCTGAACGCAAGCTGCCTCGCACCTGCCCGACAGCTGGCAGCTATATCCTCCTTGGAAAACTATTTTTTTATTTTTGCTTTTACAAAACCCAAGAGGATACTAAGAATATTATTATTATTATTAATTATTATTATTATTATGAGTATTATTATTAAGGTTCTAAGGGGAGTACAGGCAGATGGCCTCCTCCGGCCCGTGTGGCGTCCTCGATGGGAGCCCTTAGCCTCTGCTAGGCCTGGCGTGGCGAGCTTATTATTCTCCTGGGCCCTGGGGGTATGATATATTTTTTTAAGTGGATTGTTTCCCTTATTTGGGTTTAAGAGGATCATACCTCAGGAATATTTGAAACAGAGGGTGCTAAGGGCCATCCAAGTATCGATTCTGCAACAAGCATGCGCCGTCATTCGCTTGCATGTGCGCATGGCATCCGCGAGCATTACCCTAAACCCTAAACCGTAAACCCTAAACCCTAAACCCTAAACCCTAAACAGGCTGAGGATGAAGGTTGCCATCTTCCTTGACCAGACCTCCAGGAACTTCCAGTCCACGCAGCGAGGCAGGGATGTCTCGAGATGAGGGATTCAGAAGGGGAAGGCACCTACCCACTTCAATATGGCAGTTTGTTTTTGGCTAAGTTGCTCCCCAAAGTCAGGGCCTCTTCTGACGAACCCAGAGAGCCATGCGTAATCACCTATGGGGTTTAGGGTGTAGGGTGTAGGGTTTAGGGTTTAGGGTTTAGGGTTTAGGGGGCCTATGATCGGAGCCCTCAAATCTCCATGCGAGGCGATGCCGCCCTGCAGGAAGCCGTCCGGCTCAAGGAGCAGTGTGGCCCGCAAGCATTTGCTCGCCTTTTGGGGCTTCAGGGTTGGAGTTTTTTTTTTTTTTGGGGGGAGGGGGGGGGGGGTTGGGGGGGGGGGGGGGGGGGGGGGTTGGGTTTAGGGTTTAGTGTTTAGGGTTTAGGGGTTTGGAGGGTTCTGTTTCTGGCTGCTTGTTTGCAGAGGTCGCTAAACCATTGTGAATTCTACTTCGGCTGCGCGACCCAGACCCCGAAACTCTGTACATGTAGGTGCCTCCGCTACATGTGGGCGCCTTAGGTCTACGCAGCTTTAGTATCCTAAGTGATGAAGGCCTGTACCCGAGATCCCAAAGAAAGGCTTATGGGCTCAGGCATCAGGCAGGGGCTAGGGATGTAACAAGGGCTTCTAGACTCTAGTGCCAAGGGTCGCAAAGAGTTTGGCACACCAGCGTACCCACGAGAATAGCCGCGAGAGGGCTTCTCGAGTACAGCCCTGGAGCCGTTTAGGCCGAAGGAGACCCATGCAAGCAGCGGAGCTGGTTTTTCCTGTTTCTTTGTCGCCGGTGCTAGGCGATGCCACCGCCTTGCCTTTGGCCTTATCTGTGCTGGCAGCCGGCGGCATCAAAAATGGAGCCTTTTTCCTTCGGCAGCTTGGCGTGGCATTCCACTACAAAATTTGCGTGAGCTCACCGCAGCAGCTGAATGTGCATGTATGCCTGTCTGCCATGTGTGTGTGTGTGTGTGTGTATACACACATGTATATGATCCCGGGCTCCTGGGCCCTACCCCCTAATTACCCCCAAAATATCCCTCCCGACGCCATCCTCGTAACTGTCGTCATTCTTGGAACCTCGTATCCCCCCCCCCCCGCCCTAACCTGAGCATCTGGCCAGTATGTGGCCGTTCCACGCAACTTGTGCCACCAACCCCACAGGTTGGGCTCCGTGCCAGAGCTGTGTTTTCTTTCGCTGGTGCTGCGCCATACCCGGGAACCTGACTTCATCCGACTTGCAGAGGGAATGCGGCTTGGGGACTGATCTAAAGTTCAAGGGCTTAGGGTTTAGGGTAGTTCAAGGACCGCGGATAGGATTGCGGTGGCTTGAGGGCTTCATGGGTCATGATGTTTTGCTTGGAAAATGCGAGATGCGGCTTTGCTATGGAAGGGCGTGGGTGACTCACAAACCGTTTTATGCTTTGCTTTGATTGAAGATCTAGTGAGTCTAGCGTTCATGCGGGCAATACCCTAGCGACAGGCAAACCATTCCCAACTTCACTCATGCTACGTGCATAATAGGTATCATGGTCCCACTGTGATGGCACTAGCGCTTGACTCTTCGTAGCTGCGGCACAAGACGTTCGAGACATCTCTAAGCGGGTTTTGGGCTGACACTACTACTAATCGGAACACTGTGCTTTTTCCGCTCAACACATTAAAAGCCCTGAGAGAATCCCTGTTGAACAACTCGAGAATCCTGACCCGCTCTTACTTCAACCCTAAACCCTAAACCCTAAACCCTAAACCCTAAACCCTAAACCCTAAACCCTAAACCCTAAACCCTAAACCCTAAACCCTAAACCCTAACCCCTAAAACCTAAACCCTAAACCCTAAACCCTAAACCCTAAACCCTAAACCCTAAACCCTAAACCCTAAACCCTAAACCCTAAACCCTAAACCCTAAACCCTACCCCCTGCTGTTTCAAGGTTGCTCTCCATAATGGAAGAGCTGCGCTCAGGCCAAGCTGGGCACTCACCCTGCCTCAAAGGGCATCTTGGGCTCTGCACTTTGCCCCCAAGGAGCATCTGGTTTAGGGTTTAGGGTTTAGGGTTTAGGGTTTAGGGTTTAGGGTTTAGGGTTTAGGGTTTAGGGTTTAGGGTTTAGGGTTTAGGATGACGAAGATGGGGTTGGAGCTTCAGTTCGTGTAGGGTTTTATCTAGGCTTGCGGCTTTCCAGCCTTGGGGAGTGAGATTTGCGGTTCATGATCTGCAAGGTTCGCTGCTCACTGTTTTTTGGGCTTTCGGAGCTCCATAATGAGCAGCCCTAAACCCTAAACCCTAAACCCTAAACCCTAGACCCTAGACCCTAGACCCTAGACCCTAAACCCTAAACCCTAAACCCTACCACCCTAAACCCTAAACCCTAAACCCTAAACCCTACGTTTTTGAAGTCAGGAAAGTCTGAGTCTATGCTGCCCACTTCATCCAAACGAAATCCGGCCCGCCGCTCTCGCATCTCAGGTTCTCGGTTCCTAGAGGAGACCCGAGATGCCATGGAGGCAGGTGGGGGTGCAGAACGAAACCCTAAACCCTAAACCCTAAACCCTAAACCCCAAACCCTAAACCCAAAAGCATCAAAGTCTGTGCAAAGAGGAACCCAAGTTGCCCAAAGCTCGCACTCACGGGCAGGCTTTCATTCTACCAGACACAAGCAGGAAATGTTGAGAGAACCTTTCAGGGAACCCCTGGCAATCCACGGAGCATGAACTTTGAGAAGTTTTGCTGCAGGCCGTGGGTGTGGAGGCCTATTTGGTGGAGGCGCTCGGGCGGGACGAGCCGCTGCTGGTTGGGCAGCCGGATCAGATGCCTCGGTTGGAGGTTCTGGACCAGAGGCGTTTAGGGTTTAGGGCCTAGGGTTTCGGGTTTAGGGTCAGCTTGGGCAAATTCTCAGAGGTTGCGGGGATGTGTAAAGTCGGTACGGTGTATGTCGGCCTGTGAACGTGGGCACCAGTTCCTTCAGGGGATCCTGCGGCTGGGCATGGGACATGCCACAGTGTCCAGCAGACCCCCAGGTGTCTGGTGCATGCCTCAAGCAGCAGCTGGCGTTTTTTGCATCCTGTGCTCTCCGAGATGTTGAAGTTTCAGGAGCATCCTTTGGTGGAAGAGCTGAAGAGAAGTTTGCAGGATCTCGGCTTCCTTGATGTGGAGAGTGGGATAGTTCTCAGTCTGTCGGGTGGCGTGGACAGCATGGTGACCTGCTGCTTGCTCTGGCTCCTGCGCCGCCGCCTCCCGCCGGAACAGCAGTTCAAATGGTGCGCGCTGCATCTCTGCCACCCAAACCGCGATGACGCCCGCGATGAGGAGGGGTGGGTGCAGTGGTCCTGCGCCAAGCTGGGCGTCGAACTGCTCACCTATCGGCTGAAGATCCGACGGCCGCATGGAACTCTCCGAACCGGAATTTCCCGGGAGCGGTATGAGGAGAAGTCGAAGCAGATCCGCTTTCGGATGTACTCACGGTGCTTGGAGCACCTGGGCATCGAGGCGACGAGGGGAGCGGCACTGGTAGCTCATCACGAGGACGATGCGGATGAGAATAGGCTGGCAGAGCTTGGGAAAGGCAACATCATTCACATCGACGGGATGTTGCCAAGTAGTGTGACTCAAGGCGTGACTGTCATCAGGCCTTTGCTGAAAGTGCGCAAAGCTGAGCTTATCAGTTTCGCTGACATCGCGGCCCTATGCTACATGCAGGACTCCACTCCCAAGTGGAGTCGGAGGGGCTGGATACGGTACGTCTTGGACGAGATGAAAGCGCACGAGGGGCAGAACTTCACGCAGCTGCAGACGCTGCTGTCTCGAGCTGGCATTGCTTCTGCCACCCTCGGCGAGGCCATTGACGAGTCTCTAGGAAAGTGGAAGAAGTCAGACGTCACGTGCGGAGCACCTTTGCTTGCAAGCAGGCGTGGACACTCATACTTGGATACAGGAACTGCAGGTACGTTGCCCTAAACCCTAAACCCTAAACCCTAGAACTTTTCTTAGATGGCCCAGTTGCTCGAAGAAAAGGCCGCCAAGTCAGGTCCCCCTCCTTTCCCTGCGCTTGGCGAGCTGGTGAGCTGAGGTCATCAGCGTGCCTGAGGCAACCTTCACTACTGGAGACCGCAAGAAAGGCTGGGTTGGCAACAGATGAATGAATGACCATGGAAGTGACAGAAAAAGGTTGTTGAAGTCAATCAGCAAGCAATCAGGCACACGTCAGTACACTAGACCACCGAAATCGTGATTCATTGAAGAAGGAACACCATGTTAAGACCCACGCTTCACACCCAATTTCTTGTCATTCTAAGGAAAGCTGTGCAAGATGAATGATGGCATGCGCGTAGCACATGCAATAGGGCAAGGAGGCATGTCTTCAAGTTCACTCAAGTTTGGTTTGTTTCGTTGCCTTCCCCACTGGAAAGGCTTGGGCATTTGAGAAAAATTGTCTGACTCATTCTCAGAGTCGACAAGAAAACACAAACGCAAAAACAGTTTCGCTGCTCAGGAACAAATCCTGCCACACAACACATAGAGGTTTACGAAAATCAGGGACCCCTAATGTAGTCCCCAAAATATGCGGATTCCCTTATACTCAGGACCCCAATAAGGTCCGTACCCCTAATTTCGGAAACCCCCATCTAACCTTCGACCACGCCTGCTGCGGTCCTTGGACCCTTGGCAAGGGCAGCAGCCCATCGTGAGCTACTTCTCCGCACAGCAAGTGCCGGCGGTGGTCTTCAGGCGCACACTAAAGTCTGTGTCAATGGAGCTTTGCGATGTTGGCTGCATCTTGCTGAGGGCTGCGGCTGAAAGCATCTGAAGCAGGATCTCCTGACATTCTTGAACCCCTTTAGTACACTAACCCTAAACCCTAAACCCTAAACCCTAAACCCTAAACCCTAAACCCTAAACCCTAAACCCTAAACCTCTTGCTTCCCTGAAGAGATTGCCCGTTCTCTTCACCCTGGCAGAGCAGTTTCAGCAGAAGGCAGGGAATGTTTCTGCTGATGCGATGATGGTTGCTGAACTTGTCGGGTGAAGTTCTTGTTTCGATGCAGGCGCTCCTATGCTAAGCTTTGAAGTCTGCAAAGGACAAAACCAGCTGATCAACAGGGTCCACGTCGTCTACGCAAGAAGAAACCGATTGTAAGAAGAAACCGACTGCAGGTGGCACAACTGATGGACGACTTTCGCTGCATTGCTGCCATTTGGAACAAGGCCTTTGCCTTTGTGGCGGTCGGACTTTTGTGTGCAGGGGAAATCACTTCGCCCTACTTATTTCAGATGCGGGGTTCGGTTTTGCATTCAACGCGGTGTCACCTGAGAGGTTTTCAGACAAAGCATGTAACCATGCTTGGACTAGACAGGTTGATAGAGGGTATAGAGAGGCTGCCGTGAGCTCCAGAAAGGATAGGATAGTTCTCCACGGGGCACGGGTACGTGAGTTAGGGGAGCCCACCCCATGAAATGGAACCTTCGAGCTGTGGAGCTCAGACAACTTGGCATGCTTTGGCTTGGCCCGAGGATCTGGAGATAGATCTGCTATGCGTGCTGCTAGAGCAAAAAGTAGACACCGGAGTGCCTTGCCAGCTGTACACAGTGTTGAGGCAGGTACCGAGCAGGTTGCAATCTCAACGTGGTAGCGGAGATTCTCGGCGAATACCCGGAGAGCTCTCCCCTTGCAGAGATATTCCTCCCGGCAGGCTCTGGTAGTGCAGAGGGAGCCGGAGGATAGAAGTCCCAGAGCTCGACCAGCCCAATTGTTTCAAAGCCATGGCTAGTTTTCCTTACGACGAGTATGATTACGACCAGAATGCAGGCGATGTACTGGCAGCAGGTGGCCGATCAATGGAAGAGCTTGAGCATCTTTCAGCCTTCCAACAGGTCAACAGGTCACCACGGAAGTGCCCCCGTCGTATGACGGTAGGAGAGCAGCTGGTTCGCTTTGTGTTCTCACCGCGCGTTCAGCGGCATACACATCTCCTTACACTCCAGAAACGGCCATGACAGCATCATTTTGGACTGATCGCACCAGAATAAGAACATGACGGATGTGCTACTTGTGGCCGGCACCCACAGCATCGCGGCGTTTGTAACACCTATTCCCCCTCTCCGATCACCCGCCATGCTCTCATGAAGCGGCCCACATGGTTCAGCGTGGCGCATGAAGTCCCGAGGGACAATCGTGGAACAGGTATCTATCCGGCTTGCATGACCAACAGCACCCCTATGGCAAACACACCCTCAGAGGGCCCATCAGTAGAGCAAAGACCGCACAGGGAGAGAGGTGGGGAGCTCGCGTGCAGGGCACTGGGAGGGGATGTTGCTCCTGGGCAAGTCGATTCTGTAACCCAAAACCCTAAACCCTAAACCCTAATGTGTGCGGTCATTCCATGTGCACGAAACACAGGCCATCGAAAATCAAGCTGCGATGGCCAGCGATGGGACCGCCAGGATGGAAGCCCCGCTGGATACCTTGGAGGACGTAGATGCTGGGCAATGCTCAAGTTTTGAGGGAACAGGTACCTGCATGGGCTGTTATACCCTATAACCCCTTAAAAAGGCCCTTTATAGGGTTGAATATGGGGATAAAAGGCCTAATAGCCCATCCTGGTAAGGTATGGGTTGATGCTCTTGTTCTGTTGCTGTCCGGTAAATGCTTCTGCAATTTTGGCGGGATGGTTGCGCAAAGCTTCCGGGAACAATTGTGCCCGCTCTGTGTGGGTGTGAGCGTGTGCCTGTGTGTGTGTGTGTGCGCGCGTCACTTGCCTCTTCCTCGCGGGACAGCTTCGTTCGGCTGTTCTTTGGGTAGCTCCTCTGCAACGATGATCAGAAAAGACAAATCATCTGCCATCCATCCTATTAGTGCGGGCTGTGAAGTACGAAAACATAACAAATTGACAAACGTGAATGTTATCAAGCCCGATCGTTTCGCCCACTGCTTTCCCTCACTCATGGGATAGCATGGGTCTGGCGGTGCAACAATTGATGTATTCTCTTAAGTCCCATTGTCCATGCACACCCGACAACCCAGTAACGCGCTCTCAGTCTCAGATAACAGGACGAAGAGGGACCCGGGACGTGTCCACTCCAGGCCGGGTTAGGATCTATTTGGGAACAACCCTAAACCCTAAACCCTAAACCCTAAACCCTAAACCCTAAACCCTAAACCCTAAACCCTAAACCCTAAACCCTAAACCCTAAACCCTAAACCCAGTAACAGACGTCAAGCGGCATCAAGAGCTCCGTGGTATGTGTTCCAGGCCATCGGCGTTTGTGACGGGCCTTTCGAGATGGGCCCCTTCGTCCTGGGGCGTGCAGTCGGTGTGGCCCTGAATGCGGTGCCTGAGGCCGAGCAGCTCAAAAGGTACTTCAAGCCTGAACCTGAATCTCAGAGGGCGTGTCTGGGAATGTTTGACATGCAGCTGCAAGATTACGGGCTGCCCGAGTTGCAAGCTGCATCTTTCGTATGGCACATGTCACAAGACTGTGCCAACTCCAAAGCCAAGTGAGCTCCTGATGTGACATTGGCTTCCTGCAGGTGCATCGATTGCTCGGTGGGCAGCTGGTGGCAAGGCAGCCGCATATAGAGCAGAGTAGGGATGGTTAGGATGAGGTTAAGATGCTCAGGATGAGCTTCAAAAAGTCAAAACAGCTCAAAACTGCGAAGCAGCTGTCAGATTGCAACATAACCTGTGGAAGCTGCAGGGGCCCAGCGGCACTGTTGCCCTGACGGCCCTGACGCATACTGACACTTACAAACCCTAAACCCTAAACCCTAAACCCTGAGTCGCCCAAGCCACCCTCCGACCCAACGCCCTCAGATGCAGGAAAGCCTTGAAGCATGTCTGGGACTGCGTGGCTCGCGCCCGACGGGAACACCATTGGGGCACCTTCAACAAGATGTGCCCTTTCCTTTACGTTGGGAGCTCAGGGCTTTTCCGGGAACCTGGGGCTTCTGAGGAGTTTTCGGACATCCTGGGACCTCTTTGTTTTTTTTTTTTTGTTTTGTTTTTAGCTGCCGTGGTTTTGAGCAGCCATGGGTTTCATTTTGGGCTTCAAGAATCGAAATGATATAAAGTAGGGTTCACGATTCCTCTTAGCAAGCCATGAGGGCTGAACTAGAATCGGGATTGCCGTAAGAGGTCCTACTTCTGATGAAATTAACTCAGATTGTCGGACAAGCACATGTCGCCATGGCTTGGGCCCATGCTTAGAGCCGATCAAAAAAAGTAAAGGTCGTACCCCATGTGGCTCCCACTTTCCACATTCAGAGCTCTTTCATCCTAGGATGAGGGGGACCCTTAAATTTTGGGAACGCTTCTGAACCCTCTTCTGGCTCTCTTAAACAGGGACCTTCTTCAGAGGGTCTATAGCCCCAAGGGTCCCCGAAATCCTATCCCCGACTACAAGTGCTTGCAATGGGTTTAGGGTTTAGGGTTTAGGGTTTTAGGGTTTTAGGGTTTAGGGTTTAGGGGCCTTTCGGCTGAGTTGTCGCTGCCTCTCCAGGTGCGGGAAGCCAGCAGCCTGGTTCTGTGCGAAGGGAAGTGCGGGACGGAGTTCGCAGATGCTCCCTGGATGCCCTCTCTGGAGCCCATTAGAGACATGCTCATGATTCACTAGTCGGGAAGGCTTGTTAAAGCAAAAAGCACGAGAAGCCTACGCTCATGGACCATCAGAATCATAGAACTGTCACACCAGCGAGTTTTTCGGTGTCTCTCTCTCTCTCTGCCTTAGCGTGGGCACACAAGCTGCACTTGCTTGATTTTTCATACTCCCCCCTCCCTTCCACCCTTCCTCTGCAGGACTTCACCCCTCCTTCACCCCCTCCCCCCTCCCCCGCAACGGGTCTTGAATGCAGATCTTGCGAGCCTACGCAACGAGGTGCGGTGGCAGCGGCACTTCGTCGCTGCCGCGACTGAGTTTCTGACGAACGCGGCAGATGGAGAAAACTTGCGAGAGCTATTGGATAGAGATTCACTCACATGCAGCACTCAGTACTCAGAGAGTCGGTCGTTCTGTCCAGACCAAGTGTCTCGCAGGTCAGGCTTGAAACTACATTGTAGGTGTGGGCATTGTGCAAAACCCTAAACCCGAAACCCTAAACCCTAAACCCTAAACCCTGTCGTTTGAAACCTACGCCTCGCCGGCTCAGCGGCTGCGGCGCCGTACCTTCATGCCATCGCAAGTGATGTTCACGTTTCGATCACGAGTTTCCGCTACATTCCGGTACCCGCGACCACCACGAAGCTTTAAGCTAGGCATGTTTAGGGTTTAGGGATTAGGGATGAGGGTTTAGGGCGACGAGGACTTTGTGTGGGGTTCGTTAGGGCACTCAAAAGAGCTGCGTGGAAATACCAAAGCCTTGCGAAGCCCCCGGTCCGATCTTCCTGGCACCGCCGCTCGGATTGAAGAGAGCAAAGAAGGCTACAAAGAAGGTTGCTACAGAATGGGGGTCTCCGAACTTGAGGGTACCTTATTGGGGGTCACTATGAATAAGTGAATCGTACTATTTTGGGGGTCTATATCATGGTTTCGTAAACCCCCAAACGTTGCTTAAGGAGTGGGCTGGTCTGTGCTTGTGTGGCATCCGGGTTTGAAGAGAAGCTCACGGACGCGATTGTGTCATTTTTTTTAAACAAACCCTTTGTGGTACTTTGCTGTAACTTTAGATCTTTAGCTTTTTTGTGTTTATTGGGTTTCTTGATAAGGCAGCCAAAAGTTTTTTACTACCCTCCTAAGTGCAGCCAAGAATTAAGCTACTGAAATTGACAAGTACTTTCTTACAACTATGTAGAACATGTGGAGGTTATCTTGGTGTTGGCCCTTCTTAGATGTGAGACATTCCTCCTTCTTAGATGTGAGACATTCCCTGAGGCTTGAAGATGTTCTTCTGCTGCACTTGTGCCGATGAGCCTACCCAGCCTGGTTCGATCTGGGGCAGGATTGTCATGCTTCGGCTTAGGGTTTAGGGTTTAGGGTTTAGGGTTTAGGGTTTAGGGTTTAGGGTTTAGGGTTTAGGGTTTTCCTGCGCACTTAAGGCCTCCAATCGAACCTCCCAGTCCCAGAATCGCAAGCTTGAAAAAACGCGGGCTGCCCATCCTTGGGAAGTGCCGACCTCATCCCAGAGCCCGGCTGTGTTGCGTCCAGTTTTCAAGTTGCGCACGGCATGCTTCCAGCCTTTGCTCCCAAAAACCCTCGGGGGCTGGGTTCTCGTTTACTTTAACGACACGCGCCGCCTAGGATGGTTTAGGATTCTCTTGAATAGTCCAAGGGGGTTAAGGCAGTTCACAACGGCGAGCCTTTGCTGGAGAAAATAAGCAGAACCTTGCACGGTTTAGCTAAGTGTTTAGCAGCTGCGAAAAGTACTTTGCCAACCAACACCCAACCATTTCCTAGCAACAAAGCCAGCCAGGCAGACAAAGCTGTGCTTCGGCGGCGACAATGCGGCCCGGGGCTCGGTCGAAGTTGTGTGGGCGCATGGATGCTAAGGTTGAAGAGTTTAGGCCGATGTGCCAGTGTCACCTGAAATTTCGCACGCTCTTTGCATTTACATCCCTTTACATGCTTCCGCAACGATGCAACATGATGCAACCTCCCCCCCGCTACCGTTACGGGACAGGGTTTGGAGAGCCGGGGCCAGGGCTCCCGTTTTGCTAAACCCTAAACCCTAAACCCTAAACCCTAAACCCTAAACCCTAAACCCTAAACCCTAAACGCTTCGGAACCCTTAAGTTCAAGAGTCTGAACAGGACGTCGTCGATGATGCCGGACAGAAGGCTGCACCGTGCTGCACCCCTTCGATCCCAGTTCCGTTCACACTGCAGTAGAGCTAAATTTTAGCAATAATTGCAGTACTACAATCGTAAAGATATCAGTGTTTCAGGTAACCGGATCATTGTCGAAGGCTGTGGGCATGTGTGTTGTCCCAGCTGGGAATTCTTGAGGCTCTTGTAACTTGCGGAAGGGCCTCCCTCTGGCGTTAACGTTCGGATCTAGGCAGGGCGAAGGCTTGAAGAGCGTGTCCAAGCCTCTACTCAGAACAGTGAACTCGTACGCTGAGAATCAAGCCCGTTGCTCTGCTGTAAAATGTTGCCGTACTTCGCTTCCTCATGACAGGGCGACAAGGAGAAGACAGTTGGGCCAGCGCGGCGGGTTTTGATTGCCTCAAGAGAAATGACACTCATGCAAATTCGGACTGCAATGATTGCAAGATCTGAAACCTGGCGGCAACCGAAGCCTGAGTTACCTGCCAGTCATGTGAGTGCTTTCAGTGCCCGCGCGCCCATCGACGCCACCCAGGAGGCTTGGAGCTCTCTTGGAACAATTGGTCAGTTCTCTACTGGAGATTACGGTCCCTAGTGGGTGCCCTAGATCATTGCAGCCGCCTTATAATAAGGACCCCAAAAGGGACAATATTTTAGGGAAATGACCATGTCGAATGTCCGTGTCTGTATGGACCGCGTAGGCATGGCGTAGGCTGCGCCGAAGAACTCATTTCGCAATGTCATGGGTGGCTTTGCCAATCTACAAACCGACATCCCAGCAGCGGACGTTCACCATGATGTCACCAACTCATCACATCCTTCAGGTTCGTTCGCCTATAGCTCAGAAACGGATTGGCAAGCAGACGAAGTTATAGGTTTCGCGCTTTACTCGTAACTGCCATGCAGGATGACAGGGAAACCGCCAAGCAACGCCTGCAGGTGCCTGGCATGCATCAATATAATGTTTGTTTGGTCAATGCTTGGGTATGTTGTTTTGCAAGAGTGGTATTTCGAGGAATGTCCGTTGCAAGTCTTTGTGGTTGCCGGCGCAAAGCGGGCTGCCGTACCGGACAGCACAAATACCAATCCTAGATCAACTTCGTACCCCCAAGCAAGTCCGACGCCGACGCATATCCAAAACCACTTGCGAAAACCCAATAGGGTTTAGGGTTTAGGGTTGAGGGTTTAGGGTTTAGGGTTTAGGGTTTAGGGTAACTTAAGCCCACAAAGGCCTTAGAACCTGAAGCTACTCCTTACGCCTTTTCCTTCGCACGTCAGCGACTCATCCGGGACTTCGCCCACGACGCTGTTGGCACTGGCTTGGCAGTCGAGGCGGACGCTGTTGGACTTTCAGGTGGCTTACTACTAGTTGCTTAAGAACCCCGAAAGAATAGAAAATAATAATCCCTGTATTACCCTTAGTAAGGAAGAACATGCATATTTTTTGGGGTTCTTAAGCAAATAGTAGTTTAGAGCTTGGCCCTTTTTGGAGGTTGAGGGGTGAAGATGGGAGCTAGTGTGGAGTTTCCGATGCGTTCTTGTGTGAAACCAGCGTCCGCACAATCCGAAGTTTTTTCAGAACTCACCCTACTAGAAGATGATGGCTTGGGCTGAGCCTGCCTTAAGTGGCAACCATGTTACACCTTAAAAACCCAAGAACGAGTCCAAAAAACTTAAGTCTTACATGGGAAACCGTGCTCAAGAGACATGCATAACTTGCCCGAAAACCCTGAACCCTAAACCCTGAACCCTAGACCTTAAACTCTTAACCCCTTCATCCTGGAGTCAAACCCAAGCTTCCTTGACCGATCACCAGGTGAGCACCGAGGAATCCTCGGAGGACTCCTTTCAGGCTCACTCTTTGGGGCTTGGGTTGAGGGTTTAGGGTTGAGGGTTTAGGGTTTAGGGTTTAGGGTTTAGGGTTTAGGGTTTAGGGTTGACGGTTTCTTGAGGATGAGTTCAGTTGCGTAAGGTTTCAGAAATTGGGAGGCTGGTGTTGAGAGAGCGTGTGCTTTCCAGGGAGTTTGGGAGGAATGAGTGTAGGGTGTAGGGTTTAGGGTTTAGGGTTTAGGGTTTAGCGTTTAGGGTTTAGGGTTTAAGGTCTATGCGATGGACGCGCTGCGCATCGACATCCCACCCCTAAGATTCTCAAGTCCTAAAGAGCAGCCCAAGAGTGATGAAGCCGTGCTCCCAATGTCCCTAAACCCTAAACCCTAAACCCTAAACCCTAAACCCTAAACCCTAAACCCTAAACCCTAAACCCTAAACCCTAAACCCTAAACCCTAAACCGTCCATCCTTCAAACCCCGGGGGGTTGAGAGGCCGGTGACGGTTAACGAGGAGCGTTTTTTTTCGTCATGCTTCGGGTGCATTGCAGTTGTTAAATGCCGGTCAAGCAGCAGGCAGTCTTACAGTATGACTCATACTTGTATTGGGAGTGTAATGCAAGGGTCGGAATAACTACTACGTAATAGCACTCCCTTGTGGTCGGTGTATATGTATACGTACTGTAGTACCCCCACAACCCTGTTCTAACTATTAAGGCCCCTATATGACTTTGCCACCCCTTACCCGAATTTTGACTCAAAGAAGCTCCCTAAACCCTAAACCCTAAACCCTAAACCCTAAACCCTAAACCCTAAACCCTAAACCCTAAACCCTTTGCAGGGGACGTTGCGGCTGGATCGACGTCTTAGCCAGGTATGCAACCCAGTTAGTCCTCCGTTGAAGGTCTTGGGGATAGGAGGGTTCAGGACATCAACGCCCGTTGCGCAGGAGCTTTCTGTTCACGGTTTCTTTGTTGTTTTTTATATAGTGTATATAGTGTTGGTTGGTCAAGTTGGTCATGCACGGCTTGTCTGCTGCGTGGACTTTGCTTTGAAAGCACCCACCCTAAACCCTAAACCCTAAGCTTTGCCCTAAACCCTAAACCCTAGCCCCAAAGCTCCATCGGGCAGGTGGAGATCTGGCGGCCCGGAGAAGGCTCCCTGTGGAGCTTGAACAGTATGATATGTTCCCCCCCCCTTCTACTAGCATTTAGGGTTTAGGGCTTAGGGTTTAGGGTTTACGGCTTCGTGGGGATTACAATAGGGGGTTACTCTAGTCCCTTTTAAGGACTGTTAGTATAAGGAGGAACATCCCAAAGCATGACGAAGGGTCCTGTCGCGGTCGTTGGCATGGGGCAAAACCCTCTGGGCAAGGCAAATCTGGAGGAAAGGGTTCCCGGGTTCTGGCAGGTGGGGTTTCCCGGCACAGGTTTAGCGTTGAGTGGTGATGATCCAAATCCTAGTTTTTCGATGGACCAGAGAATCTTAAAGCCTACAGCCTGAGCACCGTCCCGGCAAACATCGGCAAATTACCTACCCCTAAACTCTTGCCGCAGGCGCGTCCTCTACCCTCACTCTGCCGTTCAACCAGGTTCCGTGAGTTTTTTTTTCTGTTTTTTTTTTTTTTTTTTCTGGGTGGTGCCGGGCTCATTATGGATTGCGGCTTGGGGGTCTGGCGGATGCAGGGCGACTCGGTTCAGAGTTCAACTCGGGATGAGGATGTGGCCCTTGTCTGAAAGTGATTCGGTGTGGTTCAAGAATCCTCGGCCGATCTGGCCATACTTGCAGCAGACAGCTTGCAGAAGGAACCCATCAGCGCGTAGGCCCTTGCCAGAGATTTCATTTGACCTCCCGCAGTGCTGATGCGGGGCTGCCGTAGCGTTCTTCTTGCTGAGCTTCCAGAGTGTAACTGTAGGCGAATTTGGCCAGGTGAAATCTGTTGCTAAAGTTGAGATCGCTGACTTTGACATCAGTGAGGCGAAAGATGTGCGCCTCGGCTGCAGAGTGCACCTTTGCCTTCTTTCCTTTTGAGTTCAGGCAGTGAATCTGGAGACCAGAATCTAATTCACATGTTGTTCTACCAGTGCTCTGCCTCACTCTTCCTTCCGGCGAGCACGAAGCTAGGTCTTCTGCTAGTTGGGACTGTGACTGCTCTGGTAGCCCCACACCTGAAGCGGCAGACACATCATCGACCCTAAGCCCTAAACCCTAAACCCTAAACCCTAAACCCTAAACCCTAAAGCCTAAACCCTAAACCCTAAACCCTAAACCCTTGTCTTGACCATCCCAATGCCTCAGGGATGCATCCTCATTGACCATCGAGAGCCATCAGAAGCCGACCATCAGGCGCACCTCCCTGGGGTTTAGGGACGTTTAGGGTTTAGGGTTGAGGGTGTAGGGTTTAGGGTTTAGGGCTAGCGGCGTTGCAACTCTTTCTGATGTCAAGGGGGGTAGCCAGTACTTGGCTATATTTGCTGCGGGGAGACCTGCCTGTCCTGCACTGCGGCAAGCCCTTACGCCCAGCCTCTGAAACTCCCATAAACACCGTGAGCTCTAAACTTCAATTGCCGCCGAGGTTTGCACCCCCAAATCTGAAAGCTGAACGCATTAACCCTGAATCCAAACAATCCCGGTGTAAGCCGGCGTCTCCAGTCCAGACCCTCATATCAAGTAGCTCTTTGACTCAATGCACCCTAAACCCTAAACCCCATCCGCCAGAGGCTCAATTTCGATTCCGTTATGTCCCGGGATCGGGCGTACACATGTCTGAGGCGCCAGAGTGGGATGAGTGCATGTGCCATCATGTGCCCAAACTACGTGTCCACAGTAAGCATCATTAAACCCGTTTCGCCGGCAGAGCGGCAGAGAAGGTGTGGAAGCCATGAAACTCAAACAAGGTACACGCAGACGGCCGAATTGCATCTTCTAGCAGGGTTTTGGGAAAGCCCACATGGCTCACGGGCGTAACACACCGCAGCTTTCGCCTGCTCGAACAAGCTTGGAACCCAAAGAGCCGAATACCCCAGAATAAAGGAATGTTCCTTAAATCACAATAAACATCCCTTTATAGTTTATAAGCCATATTCCTTGATTGAGGGGTATTGGGCTCTCCGGGTAGAAGTGAGCATTGCCCACTATCTCCTTAAGAACCCCAAAAGAATACACAAATAACAATCCCAATATTACCCTTAATAAGGACGTTTTTTTTTTCGGGGTTTGTGACTCGCAGGATATTCCACATGTCCATTGATCAGCCCGTCGCAGCGGGATAGCAGATGTGGGCGACGTCCCCAGGTTTCGATTAGGGTTTAGGGTTTAGGGTTAGGATTTAGGGTTTAGGGCAGTGTTCCGGGGTTTGGTACCCAGAGAGCCTTCTACCCCTCAATTAAGGAATATGGCTTAGGCTATAAAGGGATCCTTATTATGGTTTAAGGAATAGTCCTTTATTAAGGGGCATTGGGCTCTTGGGGTATCAGGGACTCGGTTTCGACTTACTCGGCACTTCTGGCAGATGTCATCGTTTAGGCCTTGCCCGGAATTGGTATGAAGTTGCTTGAAAATTGTTCGATTGTGCCGTGTTCCACGGCAATGGCTACCCAGTGACTACCCAGTGACTGACTCAGTGCTTGGAATCCTAACGATGCCATGTCGGGAGCATGTGAGAAGAACAGCATCGGGTCTGAGCTCCTTACTAAGTGGCCAGAGGTTCATGTGTACCTTTGGCAGACTGTAGGCCATCAGTGGCCCCATCATCTGAGCAGCCTAGAGTCTGCTCGTTGCAGATGAAACGCAGACTGTGTTCCGAAATGCCTCGATGGAAACCACTTACTTTGATATCTGGATTTGAACTGGAGATGCGTGCTGCTGTAATTTGCCAAGGCAAAGGTATACATCATTCGACTTTGTCAAGGCCTTGCTCTGAGTCGTTGGACACCATGGAGGGATGCCGGTTGTCGCATGCCAAAACTGCGCTTTGCAAATTGCGCTCTCTCCGTGGCACCATGTGCCATGTGTGCCCGGCTGGGGCTGCGCTGGAGGCCCTGGAGCATGCCTCCCGAACCATAGGATTAGGACTTGCTGTGAACTTTGCCCCGGTCTGTGTTCTAAGCCTCGCCCATGATCTTTGTCCTGAATTTGCTTCCGTAGCGCAGTAACAGCCGGGCATTGTGCCCTGGGCGTTGGCGAAGCCATTGCTTCCAGGACGGGAGGCGCGGAAGTGGATGGAAGGGTGGGGCATTCGGCAGGGCCACACTGCCTGACATCAGCTAAACATGAGCCTAAGGGGATTCTGAGATGGGGTTTCCGAAACCTACTCTTTGGGTGTGTATATCAGGGGTCCCTTATTTTCGTAAACTAAACTCCCAGATGAGATGTGATGTAATTGCAACGTTTGCCCTGTGATCCTTTCAGGTCCTGGCACCAAAGCTTGTCGGTGTCCCTGCTGGCGTTTGGTGACCCCTGTGGTTGAAGAACCTACAGGGGCTCATCGATCTCATCTTTGTTTCCAGTTGTGCACATGAACTAAAAAAATAAGCTTGCTTGAGACTTCAGAGTCCCTGGCTAGAAATTCAGAAGTGAAATCTGAGCAGAGTTGATCGTTTCGGAGTATCGTCGCGGACGAGATTCCTACCCTAAACCCTAAACCCTAACCCCTAAACGCCTAAACCCCTAAACCCCTAAACGCCTAAACCCCTAAACCCCTAAACCCCTAAACCCCTAAACCCCTAACCCCCTAAACCCCTAAACCCCTAAACCCAACCCCTAAACCCCTAAACCCCTAAACCCCTAAACCCCTAAACCCCTAAACCCCTAAACCCTAAAGGCCCTAAACCTGACCGTCTCGCATCTTGGCTCAAAGCATTGGGATGGGGTAGGCTGTCTTCAAAAATGGTGGAGCGCTCCACCGAGAGGCCGCGGCCAGGGCAGGGCTGCAAAGAATCGTAAACAAAATCAAAAAGCAGCAAAAGCTTTTCTACGAATTGCTTAAGAACCCCCCAAAAAATACAAAATATGACTTACTCCTCATAAGGGTAATATAATGATTACATATTCTTTCTTCTTCTTTTGGGGGTTCTTTAATATAGCGATTATTATGTTTTTCCTCTTTGGGTGTTCTTAAGCAAATCGTGCCTCTGTGAGCCGTTGCAAAAGGCTGACGCCCTCAGCGCTGGCAGCTGCCGAAGCCGCCAGCGGCCCAAAGGGAGATGGCGGGGATTAGGGTTTAGGGTTTAAGGTTTAAGGTTTAGGGTGTGGGGGTTTCCGAAATTCGGGGGTGCCTACTGGGGTTCCCTAATTTAAGTTTAAGGGAATCCTACTGGGGTCCTGACTATAAGTTTAAGGGAGTCCTACTGGGGACCTTATTATAAGCTTAAGGGAATCCTACTGTTTGGGGGGTCTATTTTAGGGTACCTTATATGTTCGTAAACTCTCATATCGACGCCATGTAGGTGAAGCCAAGGTCGTGCCATATCTGCGCATGGATCTGTGATCTATCTTGGTTTTAGCAGGGAGTTTGAAGTACGGGGGGGGAATGCTAGACACCCTCAAGACAACTTGCAAAAGGCTGCCGAACGCATCACGAAGTGTGACCCGAGGGAAAAGGCTTCGAGTGAGGAGGCGAATGCATGCATTCTACTTGTAGTGGCGATTCTACTGAATCTACTTTCGCTTAAGGTCTGAATCTGAAGTTGCTCTGCACAGATCGTGGCTCAGGCAGCAGTTGCTACTCTGGCGGTGACGGTGGAGTGCCCAGCAGCCTTCTTGTTGCCCTTGGGGGCTTTCAGGGACTTGAGTCATGTGTTTGAAGGATGTCCGAATATTCCCGAGATACGCAGAAAAACTCTTAACCGGCCATCCCTTTCTCGCCACTGAGGCAGCGGCCGTTCGGAAAGAATCTGCTGCCAAGGTCTTCTTGACATGTTTGGTGAGTCTCTGGCGGAGATTCTACGACACCCATAAATCCATGAAAGGTTCCACTGTGGAAGTGCCCTGGTCCACTTGCTCACGTGGGGCAAATGGGCCGAGTGTTTTGTGAACCTACTATAGTGATAGTATTCCCTTAGGGTCCCTTTATGATTATACTTTAATATCCCCCCAAAAACCCTATTCTAGAATCATTCAGGCGCCTATATTGGGTGCCTAGATCAAACCTTGAGCCTACTGGGCAAGCGGTCAAAAACCATAGAGGCCTCATGGTTTAGGGTTTTAGGGTTTAGGGTTTGGGGTTTAGGGTTTAGGGTTTAGGGTTTGCCATGCTCTGAGTGCAGGTAGCTGCAGCCGAGGCCGAGGTGACCATGCGGGGGAGCAGGGGGATTTTTCGGAAAAAGGGGCAGGGCTGCTGGACATTTTCAACAAGGGTCCTGTTGTAAACTCGCATTTCAGGTGGGTGTAAGGGCTTAGGGGCCGAGGGTTTACGGGGTATATATGAGGAGCAAAGGGACTGGGTTGGGGACTTGATGCTTGAGGGCAAGGGCGGGGGGGGGGGGGGGGGGGGGGGGGGGTCCTAACCCTAGAATTCTCAGAAAGGTTCATTTAGGTTTTCGTGATTAGGATGTTTGTGTTGTCAAGCAGGCCTAAGTGGCTTTGGAGCGCGCCTGGCCTGGTGGGTCTGACTCAAGTTAAACCTGTCGGAACCCAGACTCAGCCTCAATCAGAAATCGTTCTTGGCTCCATTCCAGTAATCCTTGGTCAGGCTGAGCACGTGCATCCAGTAACGAACCTCGCTAATGTCGCAAGCCGTAGCATCTCTCGCCTGAATCACAAGCACCAGTCATACAAGCTTCTAAATCATCCAAACTCCTCGACCCTATAGTGCAGGAGTTTAAGCCGCAGAGAACTTAACTTAAGCCCACAGAGGCCATCGCAAACCTCGCCGACGCGGCCGCGCGGAAGCGGGATGTACCCAGGCCGCCTGAGGCAACCGCTGCTCTGCACATGGTTTAGGGTTTAGGGTTTAGGGTTCAGGGCTTAGGGTTTAGGGTTTAGGGGTGTCCGAAATTTCGGGGTACCTTAGTGGGTCCTGACTATAAGGGGATCCTACTGTCGTCAACCGCATTGTGGCACGGGTGAAGGGGCGCAAGGGGCGCTTAACACTCAGGACACTGTACGAGGGGGCGCGATCGCTGTCAGCACTTGTCGCACCTTGATTGCTTCAGGCTTCGGATTGTTTGTTTAGGCCTTGGGCTGTGGAAATCCAGGGCGGTCGCTGCTACATAAACATCGAGCTCGGATCATGATCTTAAGTGCAGCAGCAAGCCAGAGCAAGTCCCAGCAGCATAAGGCATAGTACTGCATCAGCGGCATAGCCCAACAGATGACTCATCCTTTGATAGTCATGCTTGACATCTGTTCGCTGCGGGCAAACAAGATTCGACAAAGCCTCCGTTGCATGTCATGGTTCTCACCCACGGAAGACTGCACTGTTTCACTCTGTATTATTCAATGTTACAGTTGGTCCGAGTCCTTCATTCCGGCTTCTTTGCTACCCACCTTTGGAACCCATCATAGAACAGCGAACGAAGACGAAGGAAACCAGGGACGATGGTCTAGTTCATCTTTCACCTGTCCATCTGTGGGCTTAACTACTCATATCCACTCAACCATGAACCAAAGCCGCCCACGAACATGATTAAAAGTGGGTTTTTTTCGCTCTATTTCTTCTTGTTTCCATATTATAATATGAAATGAGGCGCTCTTTTCATTCACTTCGAACTTGCAAAGCACTTCCGCTTTGGGAGGCTCCCCCGCCTCGACCGCAACCGCCTGTCTGGGCCCCTGAGAGTTCTGCAGCAGAGGTGGGGGTTTACCATATTAGGGGTACCTTCTTGGGACACGGGATCCTAGTATTTGGGGGTCTATATTGGGGGACCCCTATATTTCGTAAACCCCCAGGTTCTGAGAGGTTTTTGTCGTTGGATGTAGGGGATCTGATGGGATCCACATGGTTTAGAGGTTGAGCAATGGCTGTGAGAGCCTTCGGGACTTCTGCGAAAGCAACAGGTTCAAGCAGAAGCTAGAAGAGTCCATAGTTAATAGTTTTTGACTGTGGCTGCAAGTCGACATCAGGACGCTCCGCCGCCTTCCAAGCGGAAGGCCGGACCCTTTTTGGCGACTTCGATCGTTCTCAGAGCTTTCTCCGCACTCGGACGAACAGTTCTTTGTCACAGGCTCGAAGCTTGGGTCTATGCTTTCAATCAGCCATGGACGGGGTTTTGTTTACCAGTATAAAGAGGTGAGAGAGGGCCAGAGAGCAAAACCGAGAATGGCAGGAGCAAGGAAAGAAAGAAAGCAGGCCAGGCTTCTCGGATCAAAAATGCCTGCAACCGACCTTGTCTGAGTCAATGAAGAGGAGGGCCAAGGGCAGCAAACTTTCATTGCCCAAGCCTTCATGTCCTCAAAATAGCAGCGAATTTATGAATCTTAGCAACTTCTGGAGTTTCGGCCGATTTTCAATTAAGGGCAGAAATTCTTCAAGTCCTGCAAGTTCAAGGAGACCGAAGGGAAGTGCTTTTGTTCGTGAAACTTCAAAACTGGACTAGATTTAACTTAGGCAAGTTAAAATTCCACAACCAGCCCGAAGAACATGTTCAACTTTTTCCAATTCTGAAATTTCTAAAGTGGGAGCTGCTTTTAGAAACTGAGACATTTAGGGAATTTGGGCGTAGTTAAACATCAACAGAATGACCCTACTTCTCTAAAGTCTTGAAAAGAAGGAGCTAATTTAGGGTTTAGGGTTTAGGGTTTAGGGTTTAGGGTTTAGGGTTTAGGGAATTTGAGAATGTATGTTTTTTCGAACTACAGCCAAGCCTTTCTCCAATTCTTTGGGCCTGCCTTTCCTGAAAGTCCGTAAGCACCCCGAAAACCTCCGGCTAACTTCGCTTAAGGGCTTTTTTTCCGAAACCTAAGTTCGCAGAAGGGTCCGCCTTCCCCCACAGACCGTTACCCCCATCCACGGACCCTTCAAAAAAGGGAGCCACTTTTAGAACTCCAGGAACGTAAGGAAGTACAGGCAGGTTAATTTTCAACAGCCAGCCTTTTCAATTCTTTTTGTACCCCCCCAGTTCCTTTTGAGGTGTCTGTCAAAGCCAAAACGAGCGGCCCTATATGTACCCTTCAAGGGATTCTAAAGGGGTACCTCTAAACCCTAAACCCTAAACCCTAAACCCTAAACCCTAAACCCTAAACCCTAAACCCTAAACCCTAAACCCTAAACCCTAAACCCTAAACCTTCTTTCCCGACGAAGAGCCAGCCAGACCCACCAGGTGCAGGCCCCCGGTGCCTCCGGAACGCACGGGGCTTACGCAAAGTGGGGGGTTTCCGAACTTCGGGGGTGCCTTAGTGGGGTTTAGGGTTTAGGGTTTAGGGTTTACATTAATTATTTGGGGTCCTTATTACAAGGGAATCCTACTGTTTGGGGCTCCTTTGCTGTCAGGGGGGCCCATTTTGGGGGTCCCTTATTCTCGTAAACCCCAAACCAGCTAATCGTTCGGCCAGGGTTTGGACCACAGGTCCCGGGGCCCACGCCCATGGCCCACATTGCGACTGAGATCTCCACTCGACCCCAAAACCCGAAGCCATCGAAGCCCAAGGTTGAGAAGTTAAACCCGAAGTGAAAGAAATAACCCGAAACTTTAAGCCTTAAACCACAAGCCCGAAACCTTAAACCATGGCCAAGGGCAGACCAGCAGCGTGGCATTCGCCTCGGACTGCCACGTCTCATGACAGGATGATGCATTTCTTGCTTAGCTGCTTACGGTGGTGCTTGGTGAGTTGTGTAATGGCTGTCTCCCTTGATGACCGGGGGTTGCTCTGACTTGATTTCACAAAGCTTGGTCGCGATTTCATTTTGAAGTAGCAGAAGCGGAAAAGGCTGGCATGCGCACCCCTTCGGTTTCTAACTTGCTGCCCTGCCTCTTTAAACTCCAGATAACGATAGTAAGAGTACTGATTCCACCGTCTTCTTTGCCGGTATTTTTTTTTGTCAGGATGTGGCTTTTTGTTGTGATCCCGCTGGATGCTGGCGGCAAGAGCTTCCTGTAACTCTGTGTGCGTGTGTGTTTCAGGCAAAGCCCAGCGGCGGTGATGTCAAACGAAGGACGGCCAGGCCGCTGCAGTCGCCACATGCAGGAGATAGCAGGAGTAGTAGTGGTTGTCATGATACATCTAGCTCGCCGCCGCAGCAGCAGCAGCAGCAGCAGCAGCAGCAGCAGCAGCAGCAGCAGCAGCAGCAGCAGCAGCAGCAGCAGCAGCAGCAGCAGCAGCAGGTGTCGTCGCCGCCGTCGTCGTCGTATTCGTGGTATACAGTCGTACTGGTAGCAGTCGTAGAAGCAGTTGTTGTCGTGGCCTTGGCTTTCTCAACGCCTTGAACTCCGTTAACCGGGCGGCTACCCTCGCTCAAGCCCGCGCGCATGTGCGACTGTTGCTACTGCTAGGCCTCGCACCTGCGGTGAGCCTGGCCCCCTCCGGCCCTGTGTGCCACTGCCGCCAACCTCGGCGACTTGTGATGACTTGTGCTTCCGCTACCTCGATGACGTGGTCATCGGTGGGCCGGACATGTGGCGCAGGCTGGGATCTGGTTGCTGAGACCCGTCGTGCGAACCTGCTGCTTGAACCCAGCAAATCCCAGCCCATCCCAGCCGGGCCGCCCAGCCTCTCGGGCAGCATGTAGGCATAAACATTCATATATCAACTCATCACAAGCCTGCTGATAATCCGGCCGTGTTCAGCTCCCAAAAGAATCCTCCACAAGAAGAGTCTCCCAATGGTGTAAGTTCGAGTCCCATCACGAAGCATGTTTATAGCCTGTGTGCACACGAACTATCCGTTCGCCTCGCATTTCCTGGATTGCTCTCGGCGCTCGACTACGCTTCCTGACTTTGTTTCCCGAATCCCTGCGTTCCCCAAGTTTTGTCGTTCAAGCGTGTCTCTCAGCGTTTCCTAAACCCTAAACCGTTACTAAACCCCAAACCCTAAACCCTAAACCCTAAACGCGCACGAGTTTCGCAGCATCCGTCCGATATGCAGAAGCGACACAGAAAAAATCAAGAATAGTCGTTGATTTGTCTTCGGTTGTTCCGTCCACCCTAAACCCTGCACCCGAAGCCCTAAACCCTAAGCAAACCCTAAACCCTAAACCCTGAACCCTGAACCCTGAACGCTGGGTGGGCTGCAAACGAAAATGGGCTCCTGAGGCTTGCGGGCTACAAGTGTACGGGGGTTTTGGTTTCACTTGGGTTTTCATGTCAGGCGAAGCTCCTCGCGTGGAAGAAGTACGGATGTCCAGATGCCGTCTCAGTCTCAGGGTTCAGATTTCAGATCCATGCGCTGGAATGAGTGGAATGCCTGGGGACTGCGTGGTGAAGTGATGCACTGGGCAGTGGGGGCTGCAGAAGCTAAACGTTTGATAAGGGTTTAGGCCCTTTCGATTGGGTAGGATGGCCAGCTTGAACACATTCATCGTGCCTTGGGCCCGAATCGCCCATCCTGGTGATACTGATTTTGAAGACTCTTCGTCCTCCAGCTTGTGGCTTCGAATCAGGATGTCTGCCAGCAAAAGCTTCGGGGCCTGCACGCTTCAAGCACACTTCTCTAGGTTCACCGGACCTGCGGAGATGAGATCCCCCAAGTGGGTTTTAATCTGCAAGATCCCAAACCCTGCGACCTCGACAGTTGAGTTAAATCTGAAGAAATGAGTTACCAGCACAACCTGAGCCATCCCAATCAAATGACTCGCTTAGGTTTGCCATGGGCCTGAGGAGTGTGCAGGTGCGGTACGGCACACCGATCGCTCTTCTCTGGAACTCCGAGCGGTGTCGTGTATGTGCTTCTGAGGTACATTGCGTTGGAGTATAGAGTCGAGCTTTTCGTATGTACCAATGCCCAGCAATGCAAAGTGCCGGGTTGTAACCCTAAACCCTAAACCCTAAACCCTATACCCTATACCCTATACCCTATAAACCCTAAACCCTAAAAGGTGGTTCCCAGAGTCCCCCCGGCTCGATGCGGACAAATACAAGCTGAGCCCCGCTGTTCTGGCCAGGCGCAGCAGCTGAAACCAGTCCACAGGATCGCTGCGGGACACAGGGCTTCAAGGGTTAGGGTTAGGGTTTAGGGTTTAGGGTTTAGGGTTTAGGGTTTAGGGTTTAGGGTTTGAATCCGCTTGAGCCTCAAAATTCAAGCGTGAGAGCCAGGGAGAAGGGTGTCCATCGTTGTCCTGGCTGCTGAGTGGCGCATGATGCAACTCACCCTAAACCCTAAACCCTAAACCCTAAACCCTAAACCCTGAACCCTGAACCCTGAACCCTGAACCCTGAACCCTAAACCCTAAACCCTAAACCTAAACATGCATGTTCCGGAGCCCACCCAGCCCTGCCTGGCCGCCCCCACTGTTGATCGGAATGTTTGAATCTTTTTGACTCCAACAATCCTGAACCCCAATAGCCCGCAGCACGACGCAAGGAGCAAGGGCACACGACGAAAGGATCTGCATGAAGCAAAAAGAGCCCCAGGATGCCTCGTGCTTAAAAGGATCTTAAAAGGTTTAGGGTTCAGGGTTCAGGGTTTAGGGTGATGCTTTCAGGAGTTGGGGTTGTAGAGTTCTTTGCTGGGAGTTGCGGCTCAATGCGGCTCGCATACAGGCATGTTGCCCGACGCTGACTTCCCCCCCCCCCCCCCCCCCCCCCCACCCCCAGGGTGCGGGAATATTGACATGCCCCCACATCAAACCCCAAGGAAACGGGTTGGAAAATCTGGTTTTGGCTCGCAGCTGCAGCTTTCCGTGCTTAATACCGCGATCCCCTAAACCCTAAACCCTAAACCCCAAACCCGAAACCCTAAACCACCCTTAGCCATGCAGCGGGTTGGTGCTGCGCATGGGGACGCCCAGGTGCAGAAACACATCCAGGTATGTTTCGCTACGAGCCTCATATCCCAGCGGCCCTTGGGCCCCAAATCGAAGTTGTAAACAGCCAGTAAACCCCAAACCCTAAACCCCAAACCCCAAACCCTAACCCCCAAACCCTAACTACCCTGAACCCTAAACTCTAAACCCTAAAACCCTAAACCCTATCCCGCAGCCTAAAGAATACCAAAGCCGTTGACCAGCCCCATACTCCCACGGAGGGTAGGTGCAGCGCAGACAAATCTATAGCCCCCTCAAGGAATTTCGTTCTTTGTTTACTCTAAAACCCAAGGGAATATTAAAAGTTACATTCTATGCAGGTTCTAAGGGGAGTAGAGTAATTCGGGGCACGTTCAATCGGCTCTTTCGACTCTGTGCCTGCGTTAGCTAACCCTAAACCCTAAACCCTCAACCCTCAACCCTCAACCCTAAGCCCTAAACCCTAAGCCCTAAACCCTAAACCTTAAACCCTAAACCCTAAACCCTAAACCCTAACCCTCAACCCTAAACCCTAAACTAGCTGCAAGCTGCGAGCCAATAACGCTTTCCATGGCTTGGGATGCCGGCCGCCCCGTCAGCCGTTCAGGCCTGGAGCCTTAGGGGAAGGGGTTCTTTAGGGTTTAGGGTTTAGTGTTTAGGGTTTAGGGTTTCGGGTTTAGGGTTTAGGGTGTTAGCGGCTTTCAGGTTTAGGCATGGGAGTGAAATCGGGCTTGGGAGCCACATCTTAGCACCCACAAAAAAAGCCGTCAACATCCAACACTTATGCCAAGTATGAATTTTCGCCCTCGATGTCTTAGATTTAAGAAATCCAGCGCCTCGATTTGTTAAATTTAGGACATCAAGCCCCTCAATTTCTTCAATTTAAGAGGTCCAGCCCTTCGATTTCTCAGCTTATCCAGCCCCTGGATTTCTTAAATTTGGGGGTATTGGGGATTGCTCTGAAATAGGAAACCCCCCCTCCAAATAAGACATCCAGCCCTCCCTCAAAATGTTGAGGCGGGGGTTGATCGGTTATTTCAGCACAATTCCCAAAACCCCCAGATCTATTAAATTGAGGGGCTGGATTTCTTAAACTTAAGAAATTGAGGGGCTGGATTTCTGAAAACCGAGGGGCTGGATTTCTTAAAACTTAAGAAATTGATGGGGCTGGGTTTCTTAAAATCGAGGGGCTGGGTTTCTGAAGTTTAAGAAATCTAGGGGCGCTGGGTCTCTTATTTGGAGGGGGAGCCCAACAAAGCATTTCTCAAATTCCGAAATTCAAGAAATTGAGGGGCGCTTGCCAAAAGAAACAAAGTTAAGAAATTTAGGGCCCCAGGATGAGCGTATCCTCGATTTCTTAATTTAGTCTCAATTGTCGTGTGTTTCATCCGGGGGTCCCCTCGTGAGCATGCTCGTTCTGGGACCCATGATTTCTACATCAGTGCTGCCTTTTTGGGGTTTCTAGAATAAGGATCATCGTATTTGGGTGCATATGAAATAAGGAATGATAGTATTTGGGTGCATATGAAATAAGGATTATAGTATTTTGGGTGCATATGAAATAAGGATTATAGCATTTTGGGTGCATATGAGGGGGTCAGCTTGAGTGTCAACTTGAGGTGGTCACTCAGTTAACTCAGGCTTAGGCTCCAGCTTCCAGAAAGCCCGTGGCCTGTAAATGTTTGGCCTCTCTCTGTACTTCTCTCTATCCCCCTTGGGATTGTTTTTTTTTTTTTTTGTAATTTTTGTTCGTATAAAACCCAAGAGGATACTGGAAATATTATTTTATATAAGGTTCTAAGGGGAGTATAGTTCTTGTTTTGCGCGATCTGCGGTTGTTGCTTTCCAAGTTTCTTGCCTTTGTGGTGGCATCTCAACCGGGTTCTTTCCTTAGCGGCCACCAAATTTGAGGTATCCTAACCGGGTTCTTGCTTGGCCACGCCACCCAACTTGAGGTATCCCAACCGGATTCTTTCCTGACCTAGTACCAGGGCACATCGTTTTGGAACTCGGGAAAGTGTCATTCGAGAATGTGCCGAAAAGACGCCGCCTGTGTTCCAAGTTGACGTCCGTGTCCAAAATGCTGCTGCTCGTGTTCCAGACTGATTCTGTGTTGGTGGTGCTACACAACATTGAAACTTGCGGCCCTTGCCATTTGTTGTGCTGTGTTTGGTTCGCGCTGTCTCTCTTTGTTCCTGGCTTAG